GTACAGAGGTGTGACAGCAGTAAGGTGTTTCCTTCAGACAACCAGCATGACAGCGATGCTGCCTTCCCACAAGGAGGGGTGGGGTTAGAAAAGGTCGACCCTAAAAATGCACACCTCGCCTTATCCCACGGATATCCGTCTCCGGCGGTAAGGTCTCAATAAGTACGGAGCTAACACAAAAATTACCCATAACAAGGTCGTGTGTGACCGACCTCAAGCAGTTGTCCCTTGGGCACTGCGGTCACGCTCTCAGTTCACTAAGACCACCTCTAATCCAATTTCCTTTTCAGGTACCTCCAGAAGAACCCTTCCACGGTGTGGGCAACCGGGAAGTGATAACCGCCCTCATACTTCTAACAGCACTCAAGTCCACTGTATTCATAATCAACCTCCTTCTTCAATTCCTATTATTCCTCCTACATCGACTTTCAACTCTGTATTTCCTCTCTCGGCTTCCACCTCAAGTGTCACCGTAGCCAACGATTCTAGTGCGCAAAACACTGTCCCAGGTCTACTGAAACCTCGCTCCAAACTACACATTGGAGCCTTCAACGTACGCACCCTATGTCAAATCGGTCAGCAGGCTTCCTTGGCTAAAACCCTAGAGTCTCTTTCCATTGATGTATGCTGTGTCTCCGAAACACGCATACAGGATTCCAGTGTGGTCATTCACTTGACCTCACCTCGGCAAGACGGAGAGCCAACGAGATACACCCTTCGTGTGTCCGGTGACCCGATGGCAAGTTCTCGTGGACTGGCAGGTGTAGGCATAGCACTAAGCATAAGGGCCGAACAAGCACTGCTAGAGTGGATCCCCGTCAACAGTCGTCTATGTGCTGTTCGGCTGAACGGCTACGTAAGAACTCGGAAGGATAGGGACACACGTCGTTGCCTTTTTGTCGTTTCTGCCTACGCTCCCACTGACTGCAGCTCAGATGAAGTGAAAGATGAATTTTACAGAAAGCTATCCGAACTTCTTCAGAAAGCTAAACGCTCAGACATAGTACTCGTAGCAGGTGATTTTAATGCTCAGATAGGCAGTTTAAACCAAACAGAAAGGCATTTAGGTGGATATTTTAGTATTCCGACACAGCGAACAGATAATGGTGATCGTCTGCTGCAGCTATGCTCAGACAATCGTTTATTTTTAGCAAACACAAATTTTAAGCATAAGGAGAGACATCGTCTAACATGGCGACCCCCTACACCAAACCAACGATGGACTCAAATAGACCATATTGCCATCAGTCATCGTTGGAGAGGGTCGGTAGAAGATTGTCGTTCATTCTGGAGCACCTGCTTGGACTCCGACCATGCCCTAATACGGGCACGCATCTGCTTGCGCCTCAATGGACGCAAAAAAGCCACATTAAAAAGACCCATTAGAACTGAGTTGAGTAACGAGAAAACCAAAAGTAGGTTCCAGGAACAACTGAGGTCACACTTAGTTAGTTGTGAAGACGAGGCTGACCCAGATGTTGCTTGGAAGGACATACAAGCAGCTGTGGAAACAGCAGTGACATCTGTTAGTGACTTAAACCACAGAGTTACAAGGAACCAGTGGATTTCTTCAAGGTCTGTCACACTGATGGATTCTCGCAAACTCGTCCCATCAGGTTCTGAACATGATGAAGAGCGTAAACAAATCAGATCTAGGTTAAGAAAAAGTCTAAGGAACGACCGTGAGCAGTGGTGGGTAACGAAAGCAAAAGAGATGGAAAAGGCGGCGACTATAGGGAACACAAGACAGCTTTACAGACTAATAAAAGAAACTGGAACTAATAAGTCAAGTGTAAGTGAGATTATTTCGGAAAAAGATGATACTCTCATCTGCTCCCAGTCCAGACGTTTAGAACGATGGGCGGAACATTTTAGAGAACAGTTCAGCTGGCCTTCAGCTACTCTACAACTACCCTCCATTCCCAGACAAAGTGAATGGAACATTGAAGTAGGTCCCCCAACTCTTGCTGAAGTTGAGAAGGCTATAGTTAATCTGAAACGAGGAAGGGCAGCTGGTCCAGATGGACTGGCTCCAGAAGTCTTTAAGGATGGTGGTCCAATTTTAGCGACTAGGTTGACTAATATTTTAGCTAAAATCTGGGAGTTAGACGTTATCCCATCTGACTGGTCGCAATCACTTATCGTCCCAATATATAAGAAAGGGTCAAAATCATCCTGTGACAACCACAGAGGGATTAGTTTAACAAACATAGTATCTAAAATACTGGCCTCGATAATTATCAAACGCCTAACTAAGACTCGTGAACTACAAACACGAGAGAACCAAGCTGGCTTTAGACCTGGTCGTGGCTGCATCGACCACATATTCACCATTCGTCAGGTTCTAGAACACAGGCATACCTATCGGCGTCCGACGATGGTGGTCTTTCTTGACTTAAAAGCAGCATTTGACTCTGTAGACCGCGAGACTCTGTGGCAGTGTCTGTCATTGAAAGGCGTACCTCAGAAGTACATAAACCTTGTGAAGGCTCTTTACTCGAACACTACTAGTCGAGTCAGGGCTTATGGCGAACTGTCATCTACCTTTACAACCTCAAGTGGTGTCCGTCAAGGCTGCCCACTTTCTCCATTTTTGTTTAACTTCATCATAGACCTATTGATGGAAATAACACTCTCGTCGACTGAATTCTCGGGTATTGATCTCCTTCCAGGAGGTCCACTTATCGACTTAGAATATGCAGATGACATAGTCCTGTTTGGTGAAGACGCTGACAAAATGCAGAGTCTTCTGGTAGCACTAAGCAACAATGCCAGAATGTTTGGGATGCGCTTCTCTCCCTCTAAATGCAAGTTGTTGCTTCAGGACTGGTCTGCGTCAACACCTGAACTAAGGATAGGGAGTGAAGTAGTCGAACGTGTTGACAACTTCACTTATCTTGGAAGTCTGATCAGCCCTAATGGGTTGGTGTCTGACGAAATCTCAGCACGGATTCGTAAAGCTCGTTTGGCTTTTGCCAACTTACGTCACCTTTGGCGGAGGCGAGATATCCGTCTATCAATAAAAGGACGAGTATACTGCGCGGCTGTCCGTTCTGTTTTAATTTACGGCAGCGAAACATGGCCCTTAAGAGTAGAAGACACCCGTAAGCTACTAGTATTTGACCACAGATGCCTTAGAAATATTGCTGGCATCTGCTGGGATCACCGGGTAAGTAATAGTGAGGTTAGACGCAGGGTATTAGGGAATGATGGTAAATCAGTTGATGAGGTTATGAATCTTCATCGACTGAGATGGTTGGGCCACGTATTACGTATGCCTGAACACCGATTACCGCGACGTGCAATGCTAACCGGTGTAGGGGATGGTTGGAAGAAAGTTAGGGGCGGCCAAACCAAAACGTGGCATCAGTGCCTGAAGTCACTAACTTCTAGTCTGAGCCATGTTGGTAGATGCAGACTACTTGGTTGGGGTCCGCGTGACTTTCGTAACCAATGGTTGGAGACCCTTGGTGACATGGCTCAGAATCGATCACAATGGCGTCGGTGTATACACTCTCTGTCTTCTCTTAAACTAAGAGATTAAGATCACTTCACATCTTTCTTTCTACGAACTAATTCTTTCTTCCTATACTATATCCTTATTGCAATCTTTCTCCTATATATTACCACCTTTGACCTAACCACTCCTATGAATCCAGTGTTCATCTTGCTGTGCTAATGAGGTATGGCAACCTGGGCCGATGCATACATGTGCCTGGTCCTACGTTGTAGCTGACTGACTGACTGAAGCGGACGAAAATCTCGTCCAATCCAAGGTATTTAAGAGACTGCAGTTTGTCAGCGTCCTTACGAAACGATCGGTCCTGATAGTAAGTATTATCCGCAAAAAGTAACCTGGCAACTAAATATTCATCTTTCCTTAAGTTGAAATTTACTGATTATTCAATGAGATCTAGGGTGTTTCGTCAAACCCACTAAATAAAGTCCAGTAGCTAAAATATCGTATACATATTGAAATGGCAAATGAGTATCAGTACGAACATTATGTAGTACTATTGAGATGTTGGTTACGCTATATCGGATTTCTAATGGGTTCTATATTTATGAGTGATTATTAGTTTTGGCTGTTGAAGACCATGATCACTTGGTTTCTTGTACATAATTCTAGTTTACCGTTTTATTTCCAAAGTCTGGTTTTCTTTATGTAGGTTAACCATTATTCCTTCCACCTTCTTTATTTTTAAGACTAATAAGTGATTGCTTAACTACATCAGTTTCGATGTTATTATACAGTTCACTACTAAACTTGACAAACGGTTGGGTATCGAACTTCTCAGTAATGGATAAGAGTAGTCTGAATAAAAGAAATTCTGTTTTTGGAAGCAAGCAAGATCGAGCGATAGTTTCCTTAACTTATACTAAATAAAGTGCCGATGAAACTCTTAAATTGGGGATACATTCTTCTCTTTATAAGTTGTGGTAAACTTTGTAAGTGGTGCTGAGTAATTTTATTGGTAGTATTCATAGATTGAAATACTTAAAGTAGTTTATCAACCCGTCAGTCATGTAACAAGTTGTAGTTCCTCTTATTTTTTTTAAAGATAAATGACTTATTTAGTTTTTATAGTCTAATTTTTATCAGAAATTGTGGTTCGATCTGGTTAGGACGTGTCTCGTAAACCGATTTCCAAAGTGATTTGATGATATTAGAGAACAGAAATATAATGGTATTACAGTGACTGATTTTGTAGACTGGTTTTAATTCTAAAACTGATGTTGTGAGTCCCAAGATTTCGGTATATGTTCATTATTCTAAAAATTATTTTGTACAGGGATCCAAACTAATTAATTATGCAGCCGACTATACTTTTAAATCTTAGTTGCTTACTTTGTTTTCGAAATCGTAAACATTGAAAATTGACAAACAAAAATAAATAAAAGTTGAATTATATTTACAAACTCATAATGATGTACAAATATTCTAATCAACTCTATGTACAGTGTATTTTCTGTATATAACTATGACGCAAATGATTTGTTCAACTGAAGAAATATTCTGCTTTCATAACTTCGGACAAATCGAATGAACCTATATAAATTATATAGAGGGAAACATTATATATTTTGATGCATAAAAGTAGTTTAATGTTTATTAAGGTAAATTATTGAATACAAATAGAAAAGTGCATATTTTATGCACAATTATCATATTATTAAATAATTCCCACTCATTGAAAATACAGAAGTTAAACGAGGTGATGGTTATGGCTAAATTTATCCAAACATTATGTTGATAAATTAGTGTATAGAATAATATCTAATACATTGGACTCTAATGCTGTTTGATAATGATTAAAGGTGGAATAAAGAATGATCATCCTCGTCTTACATGAAACTTGTTATTTGGATGCTTACATATCCAAATGACCATTACTATATTTTACCGAAACATGATCCAAATGGATATATATATCTTTACAGGAAGCTGATATGAAAACAGAACTATTTGTGTTCGGGAAAACTGGACACAAGCTCAAATAAAATAATGTTTTCTGCACAAAAAGTGTATCTCATAACACCGTAACGTAACGGTGGATGATAAGTTCAAACTTTATCTAGAAAATAAAAACTACAAACAAATCTACAAACACCAGAAAAGAACAATAGTTTCACACCAATGCGTAAGCTTTAAAAGAATTTTATTTACGTGCTAACTAAAAATTAAGTTTGAAAGGAATACAAGAAAAACTTTCGCTGTCATATTGATCATTGAAATGTTTAGGATTTTAGAAATATATGGTGCACGTAGATATGAAGACATAAAAGGAGTCAGTGGCCAACCATACCCATATACATTATCCTAAGGGATTGGAAAAATCCCCAAATACGGACTACGTTTGTTTGAAGTGACGTTATTTGCAATGTTCTGTGTAACACTGGAAACAAAATCGAGCGAATGCCGATTAATGAATAGATTCGAAAAAATACAACTGGAAACTGACCTGTTTTAGGGAGATTCGAAAGTAAACGATTGAAAGCCAATGCCTGATCTCGTTTCTTCCCACTTTTAAATTCATTGATTTGTCTAGGACAAAAACGCAGATATATTACAAAAGTAATGATCACTATAGGTTGTGTATATGAAAGATGAAAATGTGACAAGTGCTTTGAGTGCGGAAAATTTTAGGCAAAAAGGTGACTCTGAATGTAGCGAACGACGAAATTTCCATTGCTAATCAATATTTTTACTTGTATTTGTTTTCCCGTAATTACTGACTAAAAACGTCATGTGTTATCGATTTTAGATGGTTTGGTTATGAGCTATACTCATATCTAAACAGCGTGGTTAGTGCGGTCACAATAGTTACTTTTTTCTTTCAAGTTAGTCATGTTTCAAAATCCTGAGCTAAGCGCAAGAAGAGAAAAGTAGCTAGGCTTTTATATAAATCAAACTTCTTTCTAAACGAATATAAACAACATTTTTCACTATGTTAATCCATCTTTAGTAAGAACTATTATTGATATGATTGTTTTTACTACGAATCCTTATGGAAAGAGTAAATTAGTAGTATCTAACTGATTAGTAAGATTTTTAGAAGATTCCCATAATAAATTAAAACTGAACAGAATAAGATAAACAGGGGGTCGATATCTGGAAACTTGGAAAATGCTAGGTACATATTCAATATCCTTAAAATTAATAATCGAAATATATCAGAAAACTAGTAGAACATAACATAAACCAAGACTATAGTTATTAAACAAACTAAATATATTGTCTTCGATTAGCACTGGCAAAAAATAGAAGATTATAAACAAACAAACTACAACTAACAAAAAGTCCAACGTATGGACTGCAGATTTATTGTCCAATTGATTTACACTTCTTAATACTTAAGACATTTATATTTAGGACTAAATTTAGTGCTAATTGATTGTTACTGCAAGTAAATTATAAGTTTTGATTTTATAATTAGGAATTTTTATGGTTAGTTTTATTACTGTCGCAGTACTGAAAAAAATCCACCGACGATAAGAATAAGTGTAGACAAATTGTTCTACAATAAAACTCGATTGTTGACCTATTCATTGACAAGAATTATATGACAATCCTTTTTGGTAGAATTTCGTTTTCTGAGCTGGATTGTCTAGTCAGTCGTGAAGTTTTCGTTGTTCTTCTGCATAACATCGGCAAAATCTTTAGGCAGAAGTGAGGCCTTTAACTTTCTTCATCATCTCAATATATGAAAATACCTTTGGAATCGTATAAAGTTAAAAATATCAACGTACTTGTCTGTATATCCAAACCTTTGTTTTACATAATCAGCAAAATCGCCTAATATTGATTGACTGTGAAGGGCAATAAATTCTTCACGGCATATCTATGAATAATGTAGTATGAAGAAAAGTTAAATTATGAGAATTTTGAAATCTTGATATTGATTTAAATGAGTAAAATAAGCAAAAGACGATCAGATATTAAAGTAGTGAGGTACTAGTGGAGATTTTTCCTAGTTGAATTCAACAAGTGAACGGTTTGAATACCGATTAACAACATTTGTATGAAGGGGAAACATGAGAGTGTAGTTTGTGAATGAAATGACATTCCATCTTATATTATTATCCGAGCTATTCAAAAGATTACATATCTTCAACATTTCCACTTAAAAAGACTGTACTGTCTGTCTATGACAATACTAATGAGAAAACATAATATAAAAAATACAGAGCTCTAAATAACATAAATGCAGATGAGAGATACTTATTCACTTTGACTCAAGGACAAATGCTTGAGTAAACAACCATAATGAGTATAATATACTGAACAGATACTCCCTATAAAAATCCACTGAAAGTGTACATAGTGTAGTAGTAAACAGAAGTGTAGCTTCTCATATCTTCATGTTTATTCTAAAAAGATTTGGTGCCTAATAGAATTAGTGAGTCCGAAAATGAGATTAATCGTCATCATCCTAATAAGAGGCAAAAGGTAACTAATATACTCTATCTTATTGTCTATAATTGCTTTTTTCAGAGAATTTACTTAACCAAGTGGTTTAATTAACGAAAATATGCAAGTATTAGGTTCTTCTGAAGCAAAATAGAATTCCGAAAATTTTTTATTGTTTGCTCGCATATGTGATTCCTATTTTGTACATACTATTGAACGTAATATTATTCCAATACAGTAACGTAATTTAATAACTGTACAATATGCCTCATATGCTAAAAAAGAAGTCCCAGTGTTACAAATATTTACGTTTTTCACGCGATGGCGTTTGAAGCGAATGGTACTGGGTTCGAGTCCCAGAGTGAACATCAACTCTCTGAGATGCAGGTACATTCAGCTGACGAGTCCCAAATAGGACGAAACGCGCGTCCCGGATTTCACTGCTAGCCACTATCCATCATTGCTTACAAATAGCTTGTGAATTAGGGTAATATCGAGGCATACGCACAGTATGCACATATGCCAATAACAGACTGATCAATTTCAGCCTTAAATCTCAATGGGAACATAAAAACCAAACAATATCAAGTGTTTTTCATGTAATTTGTGACTTTAGTGATTTCTATTGCTTAGAGACAGTTCCCATCACTATTGTTACTAACATCATCAATAAAATGTTTATTATTACAATGAAATAAATAAAAAAAAATGGTTATTAGATAAATTAAGAAACTAGTGATTACATTATTTTCAAACTATGAAGTTTTGACTAAAACTGACCTTATTGAAATTGTGTGTGCATGAAACATTTGAGTAACCTAAATGAACGTTTGGTAAATCAATCTCCACATAAAGGATAGAACGAGAACCCATACAATAAGCGCTATCATGTCAAGTACTTTAAAGTGTATGAAATAAACTGTAAAAAACACTTCATGTCCATGAGGTCCAATGATATTACACATTGTATAAATTGTTGACTCTGTAGTTGGACGAGTGAGATATTGCCCAAAACAGACTAAACAAGCAGATAAATAAACTCAACTTCACAACGTCTGTTAATTTACTTAAAATTCTAAGATACAAAAGACCATGAACTAAAAGATAAGGAAAAACAGAGAAGATACCAATAATTAGTGTAAATCAAAGTTCTTACTCGATTCAACTTATCTACAGTAGCTGCATGAGTCCAAAAACAATCATGTACAGAGGCGAAAACAATGCCTTCTTTTAAGCACTGCAAACCCGTTAGCATCATATGACATGAATCTAATGAGTGAATAAAATTCGGTGGAAAAGCACTTGTTTGTTTAGATGATTTTGGCAATGATATCAAATTGTCACCCGTTTTATCATTCTTTAGTAAATCTAGTTTCTGATTATTGTCAATAACTTGGCTATAATAGCTAACTGTATAATCATCAGAATCATTCGAACTTTTATTTGACTGGATATATGGTTGTATAACTGGTAGACCAAGAGGAGTTTGCCAGCTAACTCTATGTTGTAAATCTCCAGATATATATTTGGCAATCTAAGAGAAAAGTAAAAAAAATACCAGTAAATTAGACTTGAAACAAATTTTTACATACCACTTACTCGAAAACATAAGACATTGGTGAATTGGAATCAAGAAGCTCTTAATTACTGATTTGATGTTCTACACAACTGGGTCGGAATCATATCTGGATTTCAAGTTAATCATATAATATTTTGTTTAGTTATCTGATTCATTTCACACAACTCTCTACCCTTATACAGTTCAACAGATCAGGTAAAAATAATATACCCTGTAGATGATTTCCTATCCTACTTGGTTTCCACTAATTTTTTCTTGGGTCATTTTTAACGTTGAATAATACATTCCCGTTAGAGTGGTGTGAAGTATGAGTACTCTGTTTTATGGAGACAAACGTAAAGGTTAAAATGTAATTCAGTATCAATAAATATACTATTCGTGATATCCCAATGAGTATATATATATATATATATATATATATATATATATATATATATATATATATATATATATATATATATATATAACTTTCTCCCAATGCTCAATTTATTTGAAACTATCAAATTCAACTTAGGCATTGATACCTGAAAACTCAGTAAATAAGCATCATATTGTACAGGAAGAGTTAATAATCGACAACAAGTGATCATTGTATTTATCTTGGAGGTCTCATTAGCTTTAGTGCGTTGGTGTCCAATGAAGTCTTGGGACAGATTAAGGAAGCTTTTTTGGATTTTACCAACTTGCTTCACATGTAGTGTAGGTGGGATAACCATATCCAAACAGAATCGCGGATAAACAGCGCGGCAGTTTGTTCTGTAACTCTCTATCGATGTGAAACATGGGTTGTGAAAGTAAAGGACTTCAGTAGACTGATGGTTTTTGATCACACGTGTCTTCGAAGCATTGCTTGTGTATTGTGACATAACTAGATGGGCAATGCTGGATTAAAAAAAAATGACAAATTGGTATATAAAGCTAAAAATTTCTATCGACTGAGACATGTACAACATGTCCATAACCATTGCACACCTCGAAATGCAATTTTGACTGGAGTGATAGTAAGTTGGAAGAAAGATAAGGGCGGCCAAACAAAGATGTGGCATCGGTTTATAAAGTTATTGATGGTTGGTTTGAACAATATCAGCAGACTACCTGGTTAGGGTCTGCGTGATCAGTGGTTGGAAATGTTGGGTGACAGCTCAGAATAGGTAGCGGCAGTGCATATGTATTCACATTTATTCTTCCTCCAGATCTTGAGTTCCACTACTTCTCGAACCATATCTTCAATGTTTAATCATTCGCATTGGCCACTACGGTTATTTCGACTTCTTTGTTATTCAGTTTATTAATTTCCTCTCGTGATGCTGACGTACATATGTGTCAAATTTAACATTGATTACGACTAGTGACTAAGCCGTAAGTAAAAGGCGATGAAAGATTATTAATGTATTTTGTTGGAAGTATTTCTATTTTTTGGTTTGGGATTATGGAAATTGCTGAATTTCATTGAAATCATGAACCTATCTAAATCAGACCGCCATTGTAAACCTGAGATCAGTGCTCATCTACGATTCTGCACATGGGGTTCGAATGCTGGACCTTCGGTTTTGCGCAAAAGCTTAACCCCTAGACCATTGAGCAGACATCCAACGGAAGATGGTCGCGCCACATCGTGGGTTTAATAAAGTTAGACATTAGCCCTGTGTGAATGCCAATTCAGTGGTCTAGAGGTTAGACGTTTGAGCTAGACCAAAGGTCCCGGATTCGAATCTCATGTGCAGGATCGTAGATATGCACTGCTGAGAATGGAGCTAACTATGTTAGTGTGTATTTTGGATAAATTCCTTTCATTAATGAATAAAATTTTTACCATAGCTAGAAGCATGTTATCATGGTAAGTTCTTGAACGATACTGAAAATTACATGAAATATAGCAACGAATTTTATTAGGTTTACTTGTAACTGACAGCATCGAGAAAACATCACAGAGTAGAGTAACCTATATTATAAAACCTATATGAGAAAATACTGAAGTTTTAAAACGTCTTTCGAAATCTTCGTAGGCATGCAACTGTAAGATTTAATGTAAAAACACAGTAACGGGATACTAACTTCTATATCCTCGTTTAGGCTACACGTTGTAAAAAATAACTATACTACTTAAATGACACAACATAGGTGAAGTGATGTTAAAATTTGTAACTTAACAGTTGAAGTTCCAGTGCTTTGACTAAGAAGAACTGCTTTAGAAGAAAATTACAGAATGTGATAGATATTTTACGCAGAATGCAAATATAACAGTGAAAATCACTGAAATGTGGATGGTAGTGATGAATTTCAATATTAGATTAAATGATTAACTCGTTTTACTATAGTAAATTCTTGTTTTTAAAGAACGTTATTGAGACAAAACTGTGAAAAATTCCTAAAAGGAATAATGGTGAGTTCAGCTATATGGTAAACCGAAAATATTATTGAAAATCAAGTCACATAAAGAATAAAATAAACCGTTACAATAAGAATAGCGAGACATCAATCGACAAGATGGTTACTTTGCAAAGCCAATTTTGAATATCAACTGAAGACGTAAAAACTTTTTCGATACTATTCAGTGTTAAACGAGCCAAATATCTAGAAGCAGGGAGTAAAGACTCTTTGGGAAATCAGGTAGGTCGCGAAGTTGTTTACGGATTTGTTCAGTAGCCCCATATGGAGTAACACCATAAACCGTAGTCATTATAGACTGTTTGATAACTTTACGCCGAACAAAACCTTCAAGTGTTTTAGCAATAGAGTTCCCGCCATCAGCATCGATACGCCTTTGTTCTTCTACCTAGTAAAAGGGGAAAGATTCGAGTTAAAATATGCAATAAATATAACACTCCTAGATAAGAATATAGAGTTGTGTAAACAGACTAATGAATACTTACGATTTCAACAACGTCACTGTACAAATCTTGTGGATAATCCATACTAGTAAGATTAACTGATTTTGCACCTCGAAGATCACGGCCTAAGGCGGCATAATGTTGTAATCCATTACAAGAACCATCTTGATGGACAGGAAAATGAGAAACATATGATTCTGGTCCAGATGGATGTGACAAAGCGTTTTTTAATTCGATACAACAAGCTAAGATTTGCCATGGCTCTGCTTGATTTTGCCACCATCTCCTACCCTATAAAAGAAATCGAGAAATACTGAACAGCATAAATGACAAAACAATTAGTGAAGCAGATGTTTTTCATTATTTAAATAGTGTCCAGTGAGAAATAGAATTTCCTTTAGGAGGACTAACTGATTTATACGAATGATCGTCTTATAGTTCTACCAGGTACAATGATCTGATTAGTGCTGAGAAATTAAGATTAATTAGACAATAAGGTTGTATTAACATTATTTTACTAAAAAAGTAAATATGTCATTATAATAGGTAACAGAATAAAAATTTATTTCATTTCATTGATCACTTCAAAAAATAGTAATTGAGTATTACAAAATAATTATTGTTAGGTCACCAAAGATAGATAGTTGAATGCTGCTTGTCATCTACTACTCAATGTATGGAGTTAAATTGATGAAATTCTAACCCAACATAAAACTTAAACTATGAAGTTTGATAAACACGAAGCAATACTATTAATAAATTAAGATCAATCACCGAAATAGTAATCAGAGTGATGATGATCAAGACTTTAAACATTAACAGATGGAATACCACAAATAGGCTAGGAGGGAGATTATAGACTACGTCGCTACTGTACCTTGAAAATAATCGGAAAAGACTTCAATCTTGACAGCAGAGTTCGTCGTCATTTGACAGCAAATGATTTAATAAACACAAATAATCAAATCCCCCCGAATGCCCTGGTACGGCCGAGAGTGGGGAGAGTCCGCTCTCCCTCTCGGAATACTCTCACACGGCTACGCGTATACAGCCTCTGCCAGGGAAGTCCTACTCATTGCCTTCTCGTGGCGGGGGTGTTGTTTACGAAATTCAGAGGACGAAAACCGAATGTCCGGCGCTTTAACCGGATCCCAAACCAATGGTGCACATGAACTCCAGTATCCTGAGGGAACAAATGGCGTATGAACCAATCGTTGGTCACCGGCTACCATGGGACTGCATCTCCTTACGATGTTCCACTGCCTTGTGGGTTAGACCTTTAGGTCAAAGGCTCGGGGTGTGGTCCCCTAAGATAACCACCTGCTTCGGTCTGGGCACCCGGGCAGTATCACAGCCCACACGCAAATGATGAACTCTCTATATCTATGGAAACTACTTTTCTCGCTTCGAAAAACAATCAAATGATTCAAATTATTATCTTTACTAATATTGTCATTATTATTATTTTCCACATTATTCACCCTCTTTTATACATATACAGCGGCTCGTCTTTGGTGGAAATTCGACTGTATCTAAACGTTCTCGAGTCACTGTCCGGTTGAAAATTGTATGTTGCCACCGAATACGAGAACTGAAGCAGTTTTTCTGAAACCACGTGCACCATTCAAACTGGCTGCCTTCAACGTCCGCACACTTTGCAGGTTGGACAACAAATAGGGCTGGCTATATCTTTGGAAAGTCTTTATATCGATGTCTGCTGTCTATCCGAGACTCGTACTACAAATTCGATCTCCATCTGTTGCTTCAAAAAGCTTGTTTTACGTGCGCTTATCTGGGGACCCTGTGGCATCTTCGTCTGGTCTGGCTGGCGTTGGTGTCGCACTAAGCACTAGAGCTGTGGCAGCACTGATCGATTGGATCCTCATTAACAGTCGGTTATGTGCTGTTAGATTAGAAAGTTCCATCAAAGTGAGAAAAAATCAGTGTGAGAAACGATGTCTTTTCGTCATCTCCGCTTATGCCCAGACAGATTGCAGCCCGGATGCAATCAAGGATGAATTCTACCACCAGTTAACTGTTCTTCTCCAGTAAGTGCGTTCGACAGATATTTTTGGTACTAGCCGGAGACTTGAATGCTCAGCTCGGGCGTCTAGGTGCAGACATTTCATCATAATTGGAACAGAAGAGAATCGTCTATGTGGCCGATGGGGACTTGTTGGTCGCAGGACAGATAACGAGGACCGTCTACTGCAACTATGCACAGAGCACAACCCGTTTCTGGCTAGCACTAACTTTCGGCACAGTCATCGCCGATGTGCCACCTGGCGTCCTCCCTCTGCATCTCAAGCCTGGACTCAGATTGATCACATCGCGATCAGCTACTGCTGGCGCAGTTGTGTACAAGACTGCCACTCCTTTTGGAGTACCTATCTGGACTCTGACCATGCTTTGGTCTGCGCCAATCTTACCTTACTTTTCAGTGGCCAACGGAGTGACCGCCTTCAAGGGATTGATGTTAGCAAGCTGGTTGCAACTTCTGTTGCTAGTAATGACCGAACCAAGCTAGCTTCTAGGCTAGCTACCATTCCACCGAAAAGTATAGATGAGCATTGGTCGCAACTTCACGACGCCATCAAAATGGCGAGTAAAGCCGCTCGCGGCTTCGCGAAACTCCCCACTTATAAGCACTGGGTTTCTTCTGGTTCTTTACAACTTATTGAAGCCCATCGGTCTACTCCGGGTAACTGTGTGTTTGACCACAAACGACGACTGTTACCTGATTAAATTGAGCAAAGCTTGCGTAAGGACCGAGAAACCTGGTGGTCGGAGCAGCAGCTGCATCTGGTAACTACCGGAAGCTCTTCCAACTCATCCGAGCCACTGGCAGCAAGAAGTCTGGTGTGAGTGAAACAATCTGCGAGGATGATGGGATGCCAATCACTAACATCCATCGACGTCTTGGACGATGGGCAGAATTTTTCGAAGGGCAGTTCAACTGGCCTGCTGCTCCGGCAACATCGGTCAGACTGTCCTGCCCTCCATGGCCGGTGACGACTGATCCACCAAATGAGGAGGAAGTCCGCAAGGAACTCCAACTCTTGAAGCGTTACAAATCACCTGGCCCAGATGACTTACCTCCGGCTCTTTTTAAAGATGGTGGTGACTTTTTGACTAAGGAATTGACGACGTTGTTTACAAAGGTTTGGGAACTAGAGAGTGTACCAACGTCATGGAATGAGTCGATAGTTGTCCCTATCTTTAAAAAGGGTTCACGTCGTTCCTGTAACAACTATCGGGGGATAAGTCTACTTCCGATTGCGTCCAAGCTATTGGCTTCCGTCATACTTCGTAGGTTGTTCAAAACCCGAGAAAGATTGACTCGCGAGGAGCAGGCTGGGTTTCGTTCTGGTCGAGGATGTATTGATCATATCTTCACCCTCCGCCAAATGTTAGAACACCGCCATACTTATCAAAGGCCAACAATCGTAGTGTTTCTTGACATCAGGGCTGCCTTCGATTCGTTGGACAGGACTGTTCTCTGGGATTGTCTATTGAAGAAGGGTGTGCCTGAGAAGTTTATTAACATCCTAAAAGCCCTATATTCAAACACCTCAGGCAGAGTGAGGGCATACAACCACCTCTCTCCATTGTTCCATTCGAGCAGTGGGGTTAGGCAGGGTTGCCCAATCTCACCATTCCTCTTCAACTTTGCCATCGATGACATTCTGGAAACAGCTCTGATGAATGTAAGTAATGGTGGTGTGGATCTGTTGCCTGGAGAAAGACTTCTCGACCTTGAGTATGCGGACGATATTGTCTTACTGTGCGATAATGCCCAAGGCATGCAATCCGCACTTAATCAGTTGGCAATCAGTGTCCGTAGGTATGGTATGTGCTTTGCACCTTCGAAGTGCAAAGTACTTCTACAAGACTGGCAGGATTCTAATCCTGTACTCACCCTGGATGGTGGGCAGATAGAAGTAGTCGAGAAGTTCGTGTATCTGGGTAGCTGCATAAGTGCTGGTTGGGGTGTGAGTGATGAGATCAATGCACGAATAGTGAAAGCCAGAGCGGCTTAGGTCAATCTGGGCCACCTTTGGCGCCTTCGTGATGTTAGTCTGGCTGTAAAAGGTCGGACCAACAACGCGTCGGTGAGAGCAGTTTTGCTCTATGCTTGTGAAACCTGGTCTCTCCGAGTTGAGAACGTTAGACGACTCTCTGTGTTCGATCATCGTTGTCTCCGAAGGATTGCTGACATCCAGTGGCAACACCATGTCAGTAATGCAGAGGTTCGGCATCGTGTGTTCGGGCACAGAGACGATGATGCAATTGGTGTCACCATCTTGAAACACCAACTTCGGTGGCTTGGACATGTTCTACGAATGTCGTCCCAGAGAATTCCACGTCGTGCATTATTTGCCGACTCTGGGACTGGTTGGAGAAAGCGGAGAGGTGGTCAGTATATGACACGGTGTCGTGGTATGAAAGAAAGCTGCAAAGGGCTGGCTTTTGTCGGTCCTTTACGACTCCCTGGTTGGGGTCCTAGAGATGGTGCGACACAGTGGCTAGAGACGTTATCAGATATGGCTCAGAATAGAAGCCAGTGGCGATCCTGCTGTAACCTTCTTTTGCTTTCTTCATAAAAAGTGGTTGTGTCTCCCTTACCTGAAAGATTTTTTCCGATTGTACCTTTCCGTTCCCTCATTACTACCACACTACCTTACACCAATCTCTTCGTTATTGTTCTCTTTTTCTTACGCTCCTTACCTGTTTTTTTCTTTTTTCTCTTCGAATTCTCATTGTTTTGTATGGCGTATATATATTGGCGCTCTCTTGTATCAATATTTATGCGTTCAAATAAATAAATAAATAATAATAATCAAATAGAAATAGTTCAAGAGTATTTTTTAAAAATCAAAAATTATTAATGAGCACAACCATTGTCCTTTAGCAATGAAAAAATCTTCAATAAAGAAGTATATATATTGATGATAAGCAAACTTACATCGAATGGTTTCTCAGCAGAATCAATAATGTCATTCATTATAGAATCGGCATATTCTAAACGTTCTGAGTGGGTGCATCTAACAAGGAAAATTGAGTAACATTACTAATGAAGTTAATTTGTTTTTTTCTTTTTCTTTTAAAAAGTTATATAACTATAGACAAAGAAATTAGCACAAATACATGTGATAATCAGATACTTGTTCGTTAGAAAGCAAATACAGAAAATGTACAATAGCTAACACTAAAACTAATTGACTATACATATTATAACTAGGAATATCTTTTTATTTAGGGAATCCTACTAATAAATTAAGAGAAAAAGTAAAAACAAATGATTACCAAACATTTATATATTGTAAAGTAGAAATGAATATACTTTGCAGTTAGTTAACAATAAAACTATAAAGAATTTTTAGCTTCAAACAATGTAAATGATAGTACGAAAAAGCATAGCTTTAATTTTAAGAAGTAGGAATTGAAAAATTATTGTACCATTGTTAGAGCTGTATTGCTTGTCTTTTTGCCTACGATGTTGCATAATGGTTTCAATATTATGATTATTATCTTGCAGTTTGTTATGTCTGTATAATAGTTAAGCAATTCTATAATCTATTTATACAGTAACTGTCTGGTTTTTATTCTATGAAATGTGAAACTCAACATTAATTGATTATGTAGTCTAGAAACTAAGTATAAATGCATTTTCATTTAAGAGTTTATAGAGATATCAAACGATACAGTCCTGTTTGGCCTGTGCCAAAACCTGAACTAAGGATAGGCAGTAAAGTAGTTGAACGCGTATCTTGGAAGTTTGATCAACACTAATGGGTTGATGTCTGACAAAATCTCTGCACGGATGCAGAAAGCTCGTTTTGCCAACTCAAGTTACTTATGGAGAAAAAGAGATATCCGTCTACCAATTTAGGGACGAGCATACTGCACAGCAGTTCGTTCTGTTCTACTTTACGACTGGGGAACGTGGCCATTAAGGGTAGAGGATACTCGTAAGTTATTAGTATTTGATCACAGATGCCTTAGAAATATTGCCAGCATCTGTTGAGATCACCGGGTGAGTAACAGTGAGGTTAAACGCAGGATATTAGGGAATGATAGAAAATCAGTTGGTAAGGTTGGGAATCTTCATCGACCGAGATGGTTGGGTCACGTGTTACGCATGTTTAAACACTGATTACCATGATGCGCAATGCTGACTAGTGTTGGAGACGGTTGGAAGAAAGTTAGGGGTGGCCAAACCAAAACGTGGCATCAATTCTTAGAATCACTAACTCCTAGTCTTAGCCATGTTGGTAGATGTAGATTACTTGGTTGGGGTCCGCACGACTATCGTAACCAGTGGTTAGAGATTGGGTGACATGGCTCAGCGATGGCGTCGGTGTATACACTCTCTTCCCTCAAACCATGAGATTAAAATTGATTTATATCTTTCTTTCTACCGACTAATTCCCTATTCCAGTATTATATTCTTATATGCAATCTTTCTTTTATATATTACTACCATTGAAGTAAATACTTCTATGAATTAGGTGTTCATCTTGTGCTATTAAGATATGGTAACTTGGACGGATGCACATATGTGCCTGGTCCTACGTTGTAGCTGACTGAGAGCTACTAAACGACTTGGACTGAAATACGTACATTGGTTAAGCAAACATTAAACAGTTGATATTTGTACAATTAATTATAAGATGTTGTGAACAATGGACGAGACAATTTAAACTATTTCGAATATTTTGATAAAATTTGTACAAGATTAACTTATTGGTTTATTGTTCTAGAAAAGAAACGAATAAATTTGAAATTTTCATGATACATTAGTACATTGTTTATTTAAAACAATGTACCTCTTACCTCTTCTTTAAACCTGTTAAATTGACTAAGTGTATTTTAAGCCAATCTAGGCCATTAGGACCAAGAGGTAATCCCTTTGCAAATACAATGAGACTTCTAGCCACATCACTACCTAAATGGATAAGAGTTGAAAAATATTTCACGTTATACTTGCCTATATGATATTTTAAAGATTCATACCAAATAAAGTTAGTTTACAATCAGATGTAATCACTAGAAGTAAAAAAAGTGACTATCATTTGCTATATATGCATAGTATTGTGGTACAAGAACCACATGTTTTTTTTATTCGGTAAGTAAGCAAAACATTACGCTTATCGAATTAAAAAAATTAAATGAATACCTATACTTACAGTTTGATTAATTATCGCTTTTAAATTTAGATACAACAATTTGAAGTTAAGCAAACTAAAAAGCCGATCTGAAGTGTACAAAGTACTTTTTACATGGGAAAGAAATGAGGAGATAAAAGTGTTTATTCTTAAAGTACTGAATAATTAAAGCAATGTGATGCTTTGTGAGCAACTAGCAATATTACAAAGTTTCAGGAACCCAATAGTTTGATGCCTAGTCCCCATAATGAAAATGGAGAAGTACTTTGGTGGTTAGAAGAGTTGACTTTCAACCTATAGGTTGATGATCCAGACCCTATCCTATCTGGCATGCTTTAAGGTTTTATATTCGTTTATGGTTGTGGAACGTGGACTTTAAAAATAGGAGATATCTACAGATTGCAATTATTTGACTATAGATGCCCTTAGAGCATTGGTCATTTATGTTGGGACCACTAAATGAACAATGCATATGCAAGACACATGGTGCTAGGTAAATTCGATTAATCGGTTATTGAGGTTGTAAATCTCCATCGACTGTGGTGGTTGGGACATGTATTCACATATGTCCAAGCACCACCTAACTTTTATGCTTTAGGAGTAAGTTAGGAGATAGTGGAGGCCAAAGCGAGATATGGCGTTAGTCCATGAAATCAGTGTGTTGGTAGATGTAGACTGTCTGGTTAGGGTCTGAGTGATCAGTGGTTGAAAATGTTCGGTGGCATGTCTTAGGGCCGACCACAGTGGTGCAGAAGCATTTACTTTTTATCTTCTCTTTGACTAAGTTTTACAATAATTTCATACGTTTTATGTTCGAATTATACTGTTTATACCTAGTTTTTTCAAATCCCACCTATTATGTTACTGTATCTATTTATTTTGTAATTGTCTTAAAACCATTTCATATCTTTGTGCGGATATGATGTGGCGAATCGAACCGATGCACATGTAACATATTTTGGGTTGCTAACGACTGATTGACTATGGCTTGAGAAGCCGGATAGTATCACATATATCTTTGGCAGAGGGGTTACACAAGATCCATATGAGAGAAACAGTAGGACAGAAACATACAAGGTGCAGGTGGGGGACGTTAATGCTTAATACTGATCTACAACACGTGAATTTTTTTGGTGAAAATTAGTGTCATAAGACTATAAAGCGATGAAAAGGGGACAAATGCATTCGATATTCTTCTTGGCAAATATGAGTGCTTTATTAGACCATATTCACTTTTTAAAAATCTGTTTATCAATACATTTTGATTTATTTATAAGTGTCTGTTATTGGATTGTCGAAGTGTTATGATTGAACATTTATCATTTAATCAGATCTCAATAATATAATTATACTATCGATGTCATAAATCGACCGAAGTTAGACATCCATTCAAAACTGGGGAGCACTGGACAGTTACTCCGTCCTAGTATGAAACAGTTTAGCAGTGAGGACTTGCGATCCCATGGAGGACCGGACTCAGGAATTCATATCTCGTGCATAAGCGCTTAACCTCTAGATCACTAAGCCGGAACCAAATGGTGTCTACCACTTCATGATATTGAGCTACTATCTTCCATTGTTTTCTTTAGTTAATTGCCTCACATCCAACTCGTTTGCAGCTCACTGGTCATGGTGAGAAATTCTCGTTTTAGGACCATATTACTTATTAGTAATCAGGGTCTATCCCCTTTTCTTATATCTTATTGGTTAAACTGATTATCGACAAACCAGCTATGTTCTTATTAGTCGGAACTTATGTTGCGTGGACAGCTATTTCTAACCCATTTTTTACGCTGGGTTAACGGTTGACTGCTGTTGTTGTCTTATCATCATGAATTTGAGCTTAAGTTTAACTAGTAATGATTTATTGTAGAACCGTATATATATCCGAGTAAACAAGACAATCTTCTGACTCAAACAGACCTCGAGTACGTTATTCAAGTGAACACAACGGTTATTTTAGTGAATCTGATACATGACTACTCATCAGAATCATCTAATGGACCATAGATTTTCAGTTATGTAGAACTGTCTCTTGAAATTAGCCACTAGTGAAGACATGATGATTATCAGCATAGAGCTGTGTGAAGTCGTCTAGTGGCTACTGGTTTTTAGTGAATGTCTAACTGAGGTTGGCTCATGATAGCGGTGGCAATCAAGCAAGGTACATAGGCCGTAGCCAGCGCTCGCTTTCATCTCGGATACGAGGGCATGCCCCAGTGTGATTTTACAAGGGTGAGAGGAAAGTTAGAAGTTCCATTCTTGAACATCTAATGAACTCTAACCATTCTGCAGATCCACTGGTTGATTTTAACGTTGTGTATACAATTCGCACAAATCTACCTATATTTCTTCGTATTCAACTCCTTAAACAACAGAAGCTCTTACCGTCTATGAGCTCAAGCCAGAATTGTGTGTACAAAAAAGTAAGTCCTATCGTTATGGTTACCTTGGCCTTCATCTTTTATTATTACAATAAAAGCATTTTAATCATCTTACTGCATTCACATTGTAACTGGTTGCTAGATTATCAACTTCATTGTTATCATCCATATTACGTAGTCTGGTATTATAACCTTTAGATTGCCTCATCATGTTCATTCCTTGTTCATATGCCCTCATGGAACCAGTAGTTATAACATACACGATTGTACAGCCTTATAATAATTCGTTGAAGGGATCCCTTCACTGAACTTCGCGTTTTTAATCAATAACCTCCAGAAAACTACACTGATACAATTATACTTTTGAAAACCATTTATCTTTCTCTAAGCTCATATATTGTGAGGAAACTTATCATACGCTTGTAACAAAAATACGGAAAAGCTTAATTAACCTAAGAAATGCACACAGGATATCAGATTACATACCGGTATGATTGAAATGGGGAGGACAAGGATATACACGACCCCGGAAATCCATACTATGTGGAAACCAAATAATTTTGTCACGATACTATCAAAAGGAAAGATTTATAAATAGAAACAAATAATTATTAACATGTGTCAAAAACAAGTGCGTTAAATTTACGTCGTGAGTAGATACAACTAAGAGAGTAGCAGCAGCTCATATACGTATAGACACACTGAATTGAAATAGATTGTAGGATCGACCTTAGAAATAATATCAAATGTTTCTATTGAATTCCCTTCTCAATTTAGAATTTCTACATTTGACTTAGTCGTTATATTAGAACCATCGTATAGATTCTACAATTATAATTGTAATACCATATTGATGGTGTACGAAATGACTCAGTACAGTTTGAGAATAAAACAAGATCTATTGATGGACAATTTATTTGACAGAACATTTGGATATGAGATTTTACTGGGAACGTAAATCAAAACAGAAATTGAAGACATAATTTGAAGAATTAACAAAAACAATTTTATAGTGAAGGAGCATACTTGATTAGCTATAGATAGTCTGTACAGTTCAGTGCTCCACAGTGAACAAAATTCACCATAATCTTGTCTATCCTCATGGTATTTTCTGTAGGCGAGCCGACGTTCTTTAGGGGTCATATCACTACAATATACACATATATATTCAAAGAACACAAGATAATTATGTGAAATACAGATAATATAGAAAAGGATGTGTATTTATCAGTTGCTCTAGTGCAGCAAGGTACATAAGCCATAGCCAGATCTTGCTTTCAACTCAGATACAAGAACATGTCCCAGTGTGGTTCTATAGGCGTGAGGGAAGCGGTTAGGAGTTCTATTCTTTGGAATTGAATCTATTGTAATCACTTCACCGGTCCGCGAGCTGGTTTTAAGGTTGCAGATAAAATTTGTCTAAATCTACACAGATTTCTTCGTATATAACACCTTATTTATTTATTTAAACGCATAGATATTGGTACAAGGAGGGACCAAATACATATGCGCCACACAAATCTCATTTGATTTGTGTGAGGGCTGTGATACTGCCCGAGTGCCCAAACCGAAACAGGTGGTTCTCCTAGGGGGCCACACCCAGAGCACTCGACCTAAAGGTCTGATCCACAAGGCAGTGAAGCAACGTAATGAGATGCAGTCCCATGGTAGCCGGTGACCAACGATTAGTTCATACACCATTTGTTCCCTCAGGATACTGGAGCTCATGTGCTCCATTGGTTTGTAATCCTTAAAACAAAAGCACTTCCCATCCATGAAATGAAGATGGAAGTGTGTATATATGCTCACTATGGCCTTAACTTATTTCCCATATCCGCATGATTTTAATCATTTAATTTAATCCCTCTGTATCAGCTTTAATTATTTTGACAGAAAACATCTTAATTATGTCACTCCATTCATCATAATATAATTCATCGTTAACTCATTGATTTTACAAGGTTTTTCATTTGCACATTTTTTATTAATTGGATTTACAATCAGCTCATTATAACAATTCATAAGTGCTACCGTTTATGAAATTGATCACTGCAACAAATGCAACTAGTTAGCTACCTCAAGATCAACATTAGTCTAAATTTTAATGACAGCAATAATATGTGGGTAATTATGTATAAAATCCCAATTAAATGTCTTAACGTTTGATAAATTCAGTAAAGAATAAGTCCTAGAAAGATAATTCTATGAAGAGGTATATGTTAGAAGATTCATTTGTGATATACAAAAAATGTGCACACACATACTTCTTAAGAGCGAATGAAAAACACAGATTTAAGTTTTACACTAATAATGAACATGTATGAATAATTAATCTCTCTTGAAAACTAACTTTCTCAAATCCACACGTTTAGGTTTACTTCTCCATTCGGGAATATTGAGAGTTTCGTTGCCACCAGAACGTGCCACTTGAATAAGATAGTCTAAAATCTGACGATAATTTGATAAAATATTAGATTTAGTGACTAAAATGTGAAGTGTACAATCAATCTTAAATCACATATTACTTAACATGAGTGATTTGTGCTTCAAAAACAACTGAAAAAATCATACATCAACTAGCAGTAGTCTTGATTTTTCGAACTCTCCAGTTATACTACATCCCCAAATGCCCTGATACGGCCGAGAGTGGGGAGAGTAAGCTCTCCCTCTCGAAATGCTCTTACACGGCCAGGCATATACATACATGATAAGGAAGTCCTACTTACTGCCTTCTCGTGACGCGAGTGTTGTTCACGAAATTCAGAGGACGAAAACCGAATGTCCGGCGCTTTAACCGTTTTGGTGGACATGGAGAGTCCACATAAGGGAGTTGGAAAACCCTGATTCCAAACCAATGGAGCACATGAGCTCCAGTATCCTGAGGGAACAAATGGTGTATGAACTAATCGTTGGTCACCGGCTACCATGGGACTGCATCTCATTACGTTGCTTCACTGCCTTGTGGATCAGACCTTTAGGTCGAGTGCTCTGGGTGTGGCCCCCTAGGAGAACCACCTGTTTCGGTTTGGGCACTCGGGCAGTATCACAGCCCTCACACAAATCAAATGAGATCTGTGTGGCGCATATGTATTTGGTGCCTCGTACCAATATATATGTGTTAAAATAAATAAATAAAATAATAATCTATTCTTTATGATTGAAATAATGTAGTTGGATTGGTTTAATAGTTGTTGGAATTTTAAGCGGTTTATTTACAACTGATGAGACGCTTTAACACAAAATGAATTTAGTGTATTTTGGAAATCTTATTTTTTATTGCTGAAGTACAGCGACTTTTTTTTCCAAACTACGTAACAATAGACTAGATGGTGAAAATCGAGAACATGGTTTACAGGAGAATGACGCACACACTTTACGGAACAAAATTTGATCATGAAGAACTGTGACTGACTAATTTGATGATGATTTATATAATATGAAAAGAAACTGGAAATTTCGAAGAATTTCGGTTATGCTAGAGACCGCTGTGTGTACAAGACTAAAGGATCAACTACATACTCGTACGTTTACGCTGCTATTAAGGAAGGGAATTTTTAGCTAGGGGATGTTAAATTAAGAAAATAACAGTAAGATTGTGCATTGACTTTTAATGTGATTTTCACACAGTAAAACATCCAATGTGATTTTTTGTTGATTAAGCATGACATAAATTTTTGCCTGAAGTTCGCTTAGTATGATAATTTCTGTTTCTGGAAAGCACAGGGATAAGATCCGAGTTTAAATGGATGTGTTCAAATGATTATTACTTTCGTGGAGCCTCTAAGGATAGAGCTTCCAAGTGAGCTTGGATTCCTGTCCTTAGTTAGTGGGCAGGAATAAAGAAAATAAAAAGCGGTTTCGTTCACTGTTATTGAAGTCGGAATTAAAAATTATTCACTCAACACACACGAGGGAAAAAGCGAGACCTTCAAATACAACACGAAGAACATCAACCCAGTCATATTTGATGGAGAAGCTCTGAAAGAGGTGGAGTCTTTCACGTACCTAAGAAGCATCGTCGATGGACATGAATGATCCGATGCAGACGTGAAGGCGAGGATTGGTAAAGTAAGGGCAGCATTCCTACAGTTAAAAATATGTAGAACTCAAAACAATTGTCAACCTACATAAAAGTGAGCATCTTTAATACGAACGTCGAGACAGTTCTACGGTATGAAGTCGAAGCTAAAAGTATTTATAAACAATTTTCCACACAAAATACTCAATGTCCGTTGACCGGATACCATCAGCAACAGTCTACTGTGGGAGAGAACAAACCAGGTTCCAGCTGAGGAGCAAATTAGGAAAAGACTGCCCAGGACAGAGTTCGATGAAGAATGTTGGTGGTCGGCCCATGCTCCTCTACGAAGGTAGGTAAGTGGCCCACGGACACACTCTAGGGTTCCTTGCCATTCCTCTGTTTTCTGGAGTTACATTTTCAATGGTTAAGCTTTCTCATTAAGGTAACAAATACATTAAATCTGTTTCATTGCTATTCATCTCGGCACGCTAATAATATGATTGATTGAAATCTTTTACGGTGTGACTATTTCGTTGGTTATTCGATAGTAAGGCAAACTTAAAACATATTTTAATGACTATTTGTTGGAAATTGACAAAAATTATCATCTATATTACCACTTTTATCTGACGCTTTACGTATAACTTGACAATTAATTAGTAAGACAGCAATCATCAAAAGCCGAACACGAGGAGAGAAAGTTCAAGAACAAGCTGAGTACATAGAAGCACAACAACAACAAGTGCCGATGGACTGGAAAGAAGGACACCTCATCAATATTCCAAAGAAAGGAGATCTGAGAAAATGTGAAAACTACAGAGGCATCACACTACTGTCACTACCAGGAAAAGTCTTTAACAGAGTTTTGCTGAACCGGATGAAAGACGCAGTAGACGCCCAACTTCGAGGTCAACAAGCTGGATTCCGTTAGAATCGGTCGTGCCCAAACCAAATTGCGACACTACTAATCATCGTCGAACAATCAGTTGAGTGGAACTCGTCACTATACATCAACTTCATTGATTATGAAAAGGCATTTGACAGTGTAGATAGGAGGACGTAATGGAAACTTCTTCGACACTACGGAGTTCCTGAGAAGATTGTCAATATTGTCCGGAACATATACGACGGACTACAGTGCAAAGTAGTGTATGGACGACAGCTGACAGATGCATTCCAAGTAAGGACCGGAGTCAGACAAGGCTGTCTACTCTCTCCCTTCCTCTTTCTTCTGCTGGTCGACTGGATTATGAAGACCTCGACATCTGAGGGGAAATACGGCATACAACGGACATCACAGAACCAATTAGACGATTTGGACTTCGCAGATGACCTAGCCCTCCTATCGCATATACACGAACAAATGCAGATAAAGACAGCCAGTGTAGCAGCAGTCTCTGCATCAGTAGGCCTCAGCATATACAAAAGGAAAACCAAGGTCCTCGAATTCAAAGAAGCGGAGAACAGCAATCCAATCACTCTTGATGACGAAACTCTGGAAGATGTAGAATCCTTCACATACCTCGGAAGCATCATCGATGAACAAGGAGGTTCAGATGCAGACGTAAGGGCGAGGATTTGCAAAGCAAGGGCCGTATTTCTTCCATTGAAGAACATATGGAACTCAAAACAACTGTCAACAAATGTCCAAGTGAGAATTTTCAATACCATTGTCAAGGCAGTTCTACTGTACGGAGCTGAAACTTGGAGAACTACAACAACCATCATCAAGATGGCACAAGTATTTATAAATAGCTGTCCACGCAAGATACTCAACATCCATTGGCCGGATACCATCAACAACAGCCTTCTCTGGGGAAAAACAAGCCAGCTTCCAGTTGAAGAGGAAATTAGGAGAAGGCAATGGAAATGGATAGGACATCCATTACGTAAATCATCAAGCCTTAACGTAGAATCCTGGAGGGAAGCGGAAAAGAGGAAGGTCAAAGAACACATTATGTCGCGAAATAGAAGCAGATATGAAAAAGATGAATAACAACTGGAAAAGATTACCCAGGATAGGGTTGGATGGAGAATGTTGGTGAGCCGCTTATGCTCCTTCACGAGGAGTAACAGGCGTAAGTAAGTAAGTAACGTTTAAAAGAAAACAAAAATTGAAACATGTATTTGTTTTAGTGAACTACTGAATTCCAGCACTTTTCTATTATGCCTGGAAATCTTGACAAAGAATGTTACTGAGTGAAAGAATAGCGTAAAGTGTCTGATGTTTGCACCCCGAAAAACGCTTGTAAATAAATAACAAATTTACTTTTCTGTACTTAATAGTAAACAAATCAGAACTGATTTTTAAGTCTTTTAGTCAGAATACCGGTTTCGCTATATCAGTAATTTAGCACAACAATAGATGTGACAAAATGTTCGCCTAGAAGAAAAGAAGCCCATAAAACCCATGATATATATATATATATATATATATATAGTTTACATTACACGTAAAAAACACTTGGTTCAACATACGGTGTTATTAATTTTCCATGGACAGGAAGCTAAACAGTTGAGAGCATCTAATATTGATGGAATTTGATTGCAATCAAAGTCCAAGTCATCAAGATAAGTTGGATTTGTTGATGAAACACTGGTACATCTAATCAGACGTGTTGCATAATCTGAAAATAAGAAGTAATATTTTACGATTAGATTTAAAGTAGTACATGTACGATGTCACAATTATACAATAAATTTGTAACAAACAAGTTGTCGGACCAACTATGTGTAAATTTCTAAGTGGTGCTTATTACCGATTGATATTAGTTTGGACACCATTGTTAAGGCAACCTAAATTAAATGTTTAGATTGTCTATTTTCCAAATGCAAATATTGGAGTGAACGTTTCTGTTTCAGATTTGTTTGAACTAAATAATTATTCATGTTAATTGTACGCATTCACGATTTACAATAAAGGGCTTGTAAATTATTGTGATAGTAGATACTATCAAATTAAAACGGAAACATTGGATTTATTGAGACTTTCTATTCCTTGAAAAAATGAGACATGTACATTGTCATTCATCCATCTTACAAATGATGGATGGAAAAAATAGTTGTAGCAGCTAAACTGATAGAAAACTTCAGAGATTGGGTGGCAAACATTGTCTACTAATTAATTTATAAAGGAAAATTTTGAATAATTTTCATTTTGGGGCATGTTAACCATAAATTTATTGCGATATTGGAGAACTGATGTTAAATAGAGGTATTATTGTCATTATTTTAAACCAAGAAACACTGAACAGCGATTTCGTCCGCATGTGAAACTCTTCACAAGTATATAGCAACGATCTCACTGAGAATTTTTAGTTCTCGTGGATAGCGATTAACTATTAGAGAACTCAATTGTAAACCAATGGTCTACATTTTCGACCTCAATCAACTAGGCTGTGAATCAAAAATACATACAAAATTATTATATTTGTAAAAAATTGAAAAGTAAACATTTCGTGGCAATGGATAAGATAGTCGATATCACATCACTTGCTTTTTGTCCAATTAATCTACACGCAATCAATATGTGCACAGTAGATAGTCGAACATCTTCATCAATTTAATTAAATGATTTAGCTTATAAAAGATTTTATAACAATCGTGGGAAAGTTAATTGCAAAAGATGCGGATGTTTTCAATTACTTCTTGAAATCAAATAACCAGCATCATCAAGATTGATCCATGGAACTGGTGGACAAAGCATAGGTAGAGCACATGGATGGAAACTTAAGGGTGGATAATCTGCATCACGATACCAGTTAATTAGCGTTGGATGAACCTAAAAAAAAGAAAATAATAATGATGAAAGTGGTTAACTTGTATCAGATTGAAATTTTTATCAAATTCTGTTTTTTAGTACTAATTTCATTGAAGAAAAGATTAAGACAATTCTGCTATGCAATCTTATTTGTAGTTAACTTCTTACAAACAGTGGTTTATAATAAAACAGAAGGGTAAACGTGTCATTTAAATATTTTTGTTTAGACAGAAACTGTCTATTGTTGATCTAAGTATAATGTTTTCTTCCATTTTACGTGATTACTGTTTGTAAAAATTAATTTTAAATACCATTGTACAGATTAAGTGGGTGATATCTATAGGAAGAAAATATTTCTAGTTTAATTGTCTTTAATTAATTAGTAAGATTGATAATGTTTTTAACCGTACGCAAACGACAGTGAAGGGATTCAAAACAAAGGGAGTATTGTAAACAAATTTATTTTATTTCAGTTAATAACAACACACTGGATACTTCGGATTACGTAACAGTGAAATATATAGTGAAAATCAAATACTAACCTTAATTTCATTAGTTACTTCAGTTGGGAATTCTGCGAGAACTTCAAAGATAGCTGGAGTATCTTTACGACGAATATTACTACTTGTCTTTTCATTACTTTTGAGAATTCATGACGAACTCTAAGTGGGCCATTTAAGTCGAAACGTAAATGTTCATATATAAGACTGTATAATACCTCACCAATCATGAAAAGAATTGTTGGAGGCCACGAAGTCCAATTATGTTGCTGATAGTTAAAACAAAATTAAACAGTAGAAACTAACTAATACAGGGAACAATAAATTTCGATACTTTTATGAAGTAAATTCAAATAAAGTAAGAAATGTTTCTGTTCAATCTTGATGATGAGCATGGATATATATGTTAAGATGAAGGCTATACGATTTTACAGACAGTTGCGTAATAAAGTGGTTTATATTTTGTCAAAAGCCACTACACTGATAATTCTAACATATACGATCCACAAATTTTCTAAACGCCATAATGTGTTTGCTTACTGTGGTAAATAAAAACTTGTCGTGTTTTTCGTTTACTTCTTAATTTATTTCAATGATTAATCGAGTTCATCAATCGACAAGTGAAATCATCTAATCAAGCCTTGATGAAGATGATACACCAAAGGAAATCAGTATTTCTACCTACAAGCAAGTTCCACAGGAAATTAGCGCACAACAATATCTAAAAAACAAGCTACAAATATTTACTTCTTAGTGAGTGGACAAAGAATCATACGTAAAATAATTCAATACCGACGGTAAGAGAGAAATACAGAGTTCAAAAACCACTGTTTCACACTAATTACTTATCAAGAAACCATAAATACAATCAACTAATAAGCAAATACCGAATTATCAAAATAGTTTTGCGAGTAAATTTAAAGAAATAAAACTCAAATGAAAAAAACAACAACATAGAACTAACCGTATTCGGACCTTGATCTATACGTGATTGTAGAGCATATAGCCACATATGACGAAAATTAGAAAATTTCATTTTATGTTCATTAAACAAAGTAGCATATGTCATGTACATTTTTTCTAACTACAGGAAAGAAACGAATGTATTTTTTAAAATAGATTTTGAAACATTCTCGTGTTTTTTTTTTATAGAATAGAACAAATGATCACTTTCAAAAATTTCTTGTCAAGTCTATAATGACAGCTATAAATTGATAAAGATTTTGTTACAATAATCAGTGTAAAAGTTTTGTTTAAATCACATTTTTAAGTGATTACATGCGGGGACAGTCAAGTTATATAATCGAATGGCTACTTATTTACTAGTTTATTTTCCGTAGACTTTAAAAAGGTCCCGATTAGTACTTAAAAATTTCTTCAGATTGAACAAATCTTGAAAAATTAACCGCGTAAAGAAAAAGTTATATAACTGAGAGTAATAAGAATACATAAAACTGTCCTGACGAAGTAAGTTACAGCATTTTTATTTTATTCAGCAGAGAAAGTTAAATGATTGAATTATAAGTTACAACTGAACACAAAATGAGATTCAGGCTGAGACTTTTTAAACTGATACAACGAAAACTGTGTAATTAAATAGAGATTTGCGTATGAGTCTGTTACATCAATTTTATATAAGGTAAAGTAATAGTGAAGACTATGGTAAATAAAAGGTCTACGCGTGAATAACATGGTTTGGAAAAGAGAAATGATTATGAGGACTAAATTATAAAATAATATTGAAGCTCGAGGGAGGTAAAGAATGAGTGCATTTGATGATTTCAGATATGAATACATGGTAGACTTCAAATGATTACCCCAGGAGGTAATAATCGACATTTAATTACTTCATAAAGTTCAGTATAAAAAAATACATTTACAAGGAGTAAATATTGTCTTACCTGCTTAAAATATCCTATTTTTTCTTGGCGGTATACAGTACAAGCGCGTTCTACACGCCGACCAAGTTGAAGACAAGCAATTGATGAGGAGGTATACTGTAAAGCTGAATCCACAATTAACATATCAATGCCCTGAAGGAAAATGTAAGAGAGAATATCTACTAGGTAGACGTAATAATAATGACTAATTATTATCACGAAATACTTGAAAACCATTAGGTCACCAAATGTTGGAGCATGAAATAATACAAATATTATTCGAAATCACACAAATCAGGAAGCTGTAGAATCGTCATATCGTAAACCAGTATATCAGAACACTTAATTACAATCAGTTAGTGTTATATCATTCCTTGAACAAGTGATTTTCGTATAATATGTTTGTGACAATGTTCAAGCTGATATAAGAATTTCGATGCATAAAAATTTAAGTTGACCAAAATTACAAGAACATATACAAGGCGAAAAACAAATATTCAGCATCACAACAATTGAATTTATTATATAACTACTAAACAAAAAGTAATTGGGAAACAATGATCCACTCAAATAAATAAACATGTAAAATGTAACTACCGAAATCATCAGATCTATATAATTTGATACAGGCAAGATCTTCAGGAATGGATAGGCTGTCAGTTTTCCTTCTAGAAGAAATTAATAAAAGTTCTTGATAAATGTTCAGTAAGAAAGAAAAGGACAATGTAACGAACTGTCACATAAAATTAAAATAATTTAAGTTAGTGTGAATTACTGACTACTTGGTGGAAATAACCTATTATTAAAGGGAATAACTACGAAACTAGTAACTCAGCGGTAATAATTCTGATGTTACTGGAGATATTTATTTTCGTTATTTCTAGGACCTTTCGGAGAACGATGAGATTTATCCAAGAAATATAAATCCAGTACAACCAATATATTGTGAGACCAGGCAATGGGATGAAAAAAAGTAGGGAACGACGTTTGATATGGTAATTGCCGGTATTGAGAGTGTTAGCTACCAAAGCTAGTAGTTTCTAATGAATTCATATTCAAGAAGGAGTTTGACATTGAAATGGCATGTATGGTGTTGCCTCCAGCTCAGAACAATACAACTAAGAGATGAAGGGACACAGAAAACTCTAGAACACTTCAAACTGGTAAGGTTTAGGTCACACAGGTGAATAACAGAACTATATGCACTACAGCTTTGTACATATGACTTTTCACATTCAAACAAACATAACGAAAGAGCCAGAGATGCCCAGACTAGTGTATATTGCAATTTATGTAGCAAACGCAAATAAATATAAATTGAAGCAAACAAAACAAATTAGTTTGGATAAGATTTTGACTGGTTGGACATATCGAGGCTTTTTAAACCATATTACATGTTATAATAAACTGGATTTAAATATTTCTAACTAGTTTGTATAACCTGCTTATCAATAACCTCTGAAAGTCATGAAATTATCATGTTAAATGCAACACTATCATAGTTTGTGCAGCCACACTTGTATTACATCAGCTATGATTATTTATTGGTAACTTGAGAGATAAAATTGTACAAGAACAAGTGAATTTTCCTTTGAAAAAAAAACTCACTTGCATGAATTATTTTAAGCCTTTTCAACTGTTCATTAAAGGCAGTTAGTAGGATTTGATGCCAGTGTTTCCGTTCTTCAATCAAAGCATTATGCTAAGTAAAGGAAATAAAAATGAATACTATACAAACACAAAATTATTGTTGAGGAAATCAATAAAACCGGATGAAAATTAAATATTGCAAACCAATATTAGTTACAACGTTTTATTAGGTAGAATAACAAACTATCATATATAAGTTTGTAATCGCAGTAAAGTACAAAATTTATCGAAACTCTAATGATCATAAATCATGCTATGTATTTGTTAGAGTTTGTACTTTTTCGTTGTTGATTTGAAGAACGACAGCTGATTAGTTTTTATTGATGTATTGGTAATTTTGAGAGCATTGTACCGATATAGCCTTTTCAGTTACAAATTTTTAGCATACTTGGATTGTAGCTTAAGTAATCCAGTTACTCCTCGTGCAGCATAGACCGCCAACCAGCAATCCCCAACCTGATCTGTTCTCGTTTATCTTTTCCAAATGTTGTAAAGTACCATTCATTCTCCTGATGTTTATCTTCGATTCCTGGAGCAATGAAATGCTAGAGCAATGAGATTCAGGACACGATTTTTGTTGTTTGAAGGCTTGTCAACTCGACTTAGTAGCTTAGTGGATAGTGAGTTGACGTTTGAAGCAACAAGTAATGGGTTCGAATCTCAATGTGAATATGAACACTAAAATGCATACATTTGGCTGACGTATCTTAAATGAGAAGGAACGGGTGTCCTGAATTCCACTATTAGCCACGATTTAAATATTACATATAACTAAACTTTATACTTTTTACCATTTTTAAACTACAAGAAAAATTCTTCAGTTATATGGTTTTTCAATGATGTAAAATAAAAATAAACGCAAAATGTGTGTGAATTTCAATTTATAGTTTATTTAAATAAACTGTTTTAATAAATATCAACATAAGAATAGCACGTATAAGACTAAGACATGCAACAGTCTTAAAGCCCCCAAATACCGTGGTATAGCCGAGAGTGGGGAGAGCAAGCTCTCCCTCTCGAAATGCTCTCACATGGTCACGCGTATATAGCGTCTGCTAGGGAAGTCCTACTCACTGCCTTCTCGTGACGGGGGTGTTGTTTACGAAATTCAGAGGACGAAAACCGAATGTCCGGCGCTTTAACCGGGTTAGTGGACATGGAGAGTCCAACTAGGGGAGTTGGAAAACCCTGATTCCAAACCAATGGTGCACATGAGATCCAATATCCTGAAGGAACAAATGGTGTATGAACCAATCGTTGGTCACCGGCTACCATGGGACTGCATCTCATTACGTTGCTTCACTGCCTTGTGGATCAGACCTTTAGGTCGAGTGCTCTGGGTGTGGCCCCCTAAGAAAACCACCTGCTGTGGTTTGGGCTTCGGGCAGTATCACAGCCCTCACACAAATCAAATGATATCTGCGTGGCGCATATGTATTTGGTTCTCCCTTGTACCAATATCTATGTGTTCAAATAAAATAAAAAACAGTCTTAAGACAAGCAAATCAACCAGTCGCAGCCTGGTTAAGGTTCTGAACAGTTCTAAAAAACGGAAAAACGCTTAAAGCGGTGGCGAAGCTAACAAACAGAAGTTGGGAATTTGTAACTGATAAAAGTCAGTTACAGAATTGTGAAAAGAATGGATGGAACTGAAATAAGATTCCTTACAATGGGGTGCAACTGTAAGTTTATAAGTGGAGTTTATCTTAAAGTATGTGCTGTAATATCTCGGAAAATATGGGATTTCTTTTATCGCCATAAATTCTTTCAGACTTCTAATTTGCAAGCCGCAGAATGAAAATTTCATAAAATATCAAACAGTCCACTTTAAGTTCAATTAGTGATGTAATAAATGTAAGCGAAATCGGAGAGTGAGTGATACATCTTAAAAGAATGAATTTAGTCCCAAGGTTGCTTTCAGTGGTTTAGATTTCCTATGTACAAATATACATTAGATATTAAAATTATGAGTTAATCATTTACAGATGTACAAAACAAGATAACGTACCAAATTCTTTTTAGTTCTGGCGATAAAGAGGTAGTTTCTGATTGACCGAATGGTGAAAGTACTGGTGAGACAGTGACTTCTGTCATTTGTTCTACATACATCTGGTTTTTAAATGCCTTTGAAATGTCACCAAAATCCGTAAAAATACCAGCGTAAGGATTTTTACGTTCGTGCTATAATTAAGAAGGAAAACATTTCTAAACTGAGAGAACAACTTGACTTAGGACTAGTGTTTTATTAGAAAAGGGATTGTTTTAGAGATTAATGTAATTTAAACAATAATATGGAGATGTTTACAGAGTTAGACCTGGTTTAAGGGTGCTTTAATTTAAGTTATCACGTTTTAGATCGAAACAGGAAAAAGGAATTAATAAGGGAAAAACCAAAAGAATGATAATGATGGTGATAATACTAATTCAAGAGGATAACGAAGTATAAAAACGAAGGAAAAATGAACGAAATCAGTAGGCAAGAATTATGAAAATAAGAGAAAGAAAAAAGTGAACACATTTGCATCAGTGAGATATATTGTGGGACCTATTGCTCAAGGTCTAAATCAAATATTTTAAGCCAACTTATTTATCAAACATGGATTTACAAGCTTGACTTCTATTCGTATGGTAGGAATAGTAATACTAGCAGACTGCTTGAACTGAAAACAATGTAGTGGGATTCGGACCTGTGACATGTCAAATTACCAGTAGACAAATTTAAATTTATTAATTCAGATTACATTGGTAAGGAATTATAATGATTATATGTAGGTTAAAAAACTAAGCTTATGATAAGGAATTTCGGATTCAGCTAATTTTTACGAGTACAAAATCAATATCTTAACTACTTTTGATTGAATTGAAAATTAATTTAATAGAAGACAAGAAGTTGCATCAAAGATCTGAGTCATCAGATCAGTTGATATTAGACAGAAAGCACTCAATTATACTTTCTTATTACGTTTTAGTTTTTACACATTTCATGTAAAGTGCTAAGAAATGGGTATTTAGATTACTGGGGTAATGCAAAAAGCACGTCATGCAAGTCTGTAGGCATAATTAGGGAAACAAAATGTTATTAACTTACTTTAACACTATCTAAATGTTTTTGAGCTGGATGAGATATTTCCTTGATACGTTTGGTATGTGTTGAAATATTACTGGATGAATAGTGTATAAAGTAATTAAGATTTGGATTTATATTTGGTCGGACATACAACAAAGCAGTGAGAATATTCCTCAATGAACCTTCTTCTAGAGATAAACCTAGTAAACCCTGAGTTAGATCATGTCCCTTTAAAAAAAGAAAGCGTGTATATTAATTAAATCCATAGGAATTACAAGAATAATAAAGAATAGTCAGCACTCGCTTAGTGAATGAATACCAACAAATAAGACATTCATCAACATGATTTTACTTAACAGAGTATATAAAATTACCTAGAGAAGCAGAGAATTACAAACTTATAGCTAAGTCATGTGAAGATTAAGAAACAAATAATCTTGGTCTGTTACAAGATATCAATGAAACAGACAATTGTAATGAATAAAATGAATTAATAAACGGATACAAACACCCTGCGAACTTTTCTATAGAATGTAAGAATAGGAATAAACTCAAAGGAGTGACTTAATAAATTGTTACTTGTGAACAAAAATTTAGTGCTGTCTCTTTTATTTTGACGTATTTAATAGTTTTATGGTCAATTAAAGATGTTTTAAAACATAGAGGATACTAAATTTGTGAAACTGTTATACTGTTGGAAATAACATTGTTTTCCATGTGGTGAAACCACATGAATAGCTAAATTGCCTTCAACTTGTTATTAGACAAATAAACTACATGAATGAACCAAATGTAAAAAGGAGAAATACTCTGAGGTTCTTATTCTCTGAACAAAGAATATAAGTAACTTTCTATTCTGCCTGAAGCTACTACCTAACACAAGTAAATATTCAGTAGAAAACTTATTAGGGACAGCAAAGACTGACTAGACAAACAACATGTGTATACACAGTTTTATAATCCCACCGAAAGTACAGAAGAAAAGGTTATTAACAGGGTAATGAACTAATAATTGAGAACAGATGTCCTAAAATGAGCTGGGAATTTTAGCAATAATAATGAAAAATTAGAATGCATTCTGTCGGATTTTCACGAAGACTATTGATAATTAGCTTGATTCTGAACAAAGACATCGCAAACCCAGTGGTAAAGGGTCTTAAAACATAAAGTAGCACTTTAGGAACTAAGAACAAAGAATATTTCACCTCAGAAGAGCTTTCGAGTAGGAAGTATTCCATAAGTCCTATGTCAAGACTATTCCTATCGGAGATTTATAAAATTTAACAAGTGCCTGCATTACTGCACAGAGGACCCCGAATGCATTAAATAAGACCGAGGATGGTGGGTCCACTCTACCTCTCGAAATGCTTTCATATTGCCACTCGTAAATAGACATTGTGAGGGACGTCCTACTCACTGTTTTGTCGCGACCAGGCTGTTTTTTACGAAATTAGGACGAAAAGCGAATGTCCGGAGCTTAAACCAGGTTGGCGAGTACGGGAGACCCAACTAGGAGAGCTGAAAAACCTTGGTTCCAAACCAATGGTGCAAATGGGCTTCGGGGAGTAATCTGAGAAGCGAACAGAACGCCAATTAATAGCATCTATTGACGTCTGGGTCGATAGAGTTATTCGAGAAACAGTTTAGCTGGATTGCTGTCCCGGCGACCTAGATCAGGCAGTTCTGTCCTCCCTAATCGGTGTCCATCGACCTACCTAATGTGGCATAGATGAGGCACACTGGTACGAACGGACACCGAAATCCGTAAGGGCTAAACAATAAAAATGAGACTACAAAAAGACATACAAAGGAGGGCGAGTATAAAAAAATAATAAGAGAAGCAGTTCACTTAGAAAGAATTTTTTCAAGTCATTAAACTACTGTGAAAGTCACAACATGATCGCCACTAGATTCAATTCTGAGCCATATCTGATAACGTCTCTACTCATCGTGTTGCACCATTTCAAGCACTTCAGTCAGAGAGACGTGAAGGACCAATAGATTCCAGTCCTGTACAACTTTCTTTAACACTACGATATCGTGTCATACAGTGACCACCTCCGCTTTTTCCAACCAGTCCCAGCGTTAGCAAATAATGCACGATGTGGAACTCCATAGGTATATATTCTTAGTACCTGTCCAAGCTACCGAAGTCGGTATCCCAAGATAGTGACACTAATTGAATTATCGTCCCTGTGCCCGAACACACGATGCCAAACCTCTGCATTACTAACATGGCGTTACCACTGGATGTCAGCAATCATTCGGAGACAACGATGATCAAACACAGAAAGTCGTCTAACATCCTCAACTCGGAGAGGCCAGGTTTCACAAGCATAGAGCAAAACTGCTCTCACCGACGCGTTGTAGATCTGACCTTTTACAGCCAAACTACCATCGCAAAGGCGCCAAACGTTAGTATAAGCCGCTCTGGCTTTCACTATACGTGAACTGGTCTCATCGTTCACGCGACCACCAGCACTTACGCAGCTAAGCAGATACATGAACTCCTCGACCACGTCTATCCCCTCACTACCCAGGGTGAGTGCAGTATCTGGGCAGATGGAAAGAGAACTTGTAGTACTTTACTAGAGTCTTGAATATTAGTCTTGGATAGACAACAGATATCGATATTATGAATTTATAAAGACATAGCCAACCCTATCTGTTGTCCGATCCGCATTAATGTGTGAACGTTGAAGGCGGCCAGTTTGAATGGTATACGTGGTTTTAGAAAGACTGCTTAAGTATTCGTAGTCGGATGTAGCATTCAACTTTCGACCAATAAGTGGGTTGAGAACGCTTGGTTGGGAGAGGGTTTTCAATAATAAACGAACTGCTGTATGGGTTGAAAAATAAGGGAGTAAACAAAATATGAAAAGAAGAGAATATAGACGTGATGTAATATAAAATAATAACGAATGTTTCGGAATAATTGTAAATACAATTTCTGAAAATGTAAATTGAAGGGAGAGTATTTTTCCAGTTCTAACCATTATTTGATTTGTGTGCGAGCTAGGGGGCAGTCGCCAAGCCTTTGAGCTAGATGCCTAATTCACGAGGCAGCGGAGCAACGTAATGAGACGATATCTCATGGTAGCGGGTGACCAAGAATAGGTTTACACGCCATTTGCTCCTTTAGGATCTTGAGCCCCATTTGCATAATTAGTTTGGAATAAAGGTTTTCTAACTCTCCTAGGTGGATCCTCCGTACTCACGAACCCGGTTTAAGCTCCGGACGTTCGCTTTTCGTCCCAATTTCGTAAACAACACCCTGGTCGCGATAAGGCAGTGAGTAGGACTCCCCTAACAGTGGATATATGAAAGCATTATGAGTGGGTGAACGGATTCACCACCCTCGCTTGTGCTAGAGGATTCGGGAGGTGTTCACTTCTATATAAACATACCCTTCTGATAGATGATAAGTTTACATTTGTTTTGAGGAGGATCAGTCGCTATCCAAGTTTTAATAATGGAACCTGAAGAGCGCAGATCAATCCTGTGACACAACCACACATATACCCAGAACCCCGTAAAATGCCAATGATTTGACTATTAAAAATAATAGATTTAAGAATGATAACTGAAAAATTACATTTATTACAGAAAGGGGCAAAATAAATTACCTCTTTTTCAGCAGCATCTATTAGATTTTTAGCTTCGTGTCCGATTTTTTCCATAGGTATAACTGATTTGGGAGTTATGCGATTCAATGCTTTATTTTTTGAAATAGACTGAGGGTGCGAAGACGGTGGAAGTTGAGATCCATTCTTGTTCATAAGTTTACCCAAACATTCAAATCCATAGAAATAAGTATTTTTTGAAGGTAACAAACCCTCTCGTTTCATTCGTTCCAGTAATTTAATGTATCCACTCCAGTCACCCTAAAATAATGAAAAAGTGCGAAAAGGACTTGTAATATTTATATTAGTTGTATAACCATAGTCTATCATCTTTTAAAGGGTGATGGGTTGATTTAGAATCACATAAGAAATATACATGACTTATTTTTGTATAAGTTTGGATCAAAATGGCTTTATTTGATGGTTCATCTAACAATGAAACAATGAAGACCATTCACTTTGCAAAGCGTCGCTTATAATCTGGACAAATTCTGATTAGTGTAGGCAAACAGAAGTTATACATTCGTCAACTTCGTACATCAACAACAATGGACAGAAAGACACATTCAAGACACTAAGTTAATTTAAAAGAGCTTCACTTTTTGGTTAACAAGGGATAGTTACTGATATTTTATACATTAACGTACTATAATTATGAACAATAATTTTTTCGGAGAGGCTATTAAGTACTAATGCACTATTAGTACCGGAAGGTTCAATGTAAGTGGCATAATCTGAGTTGATGGCACTCCAAATAGTAATTGTCATAAATTCCTTGAAAACTAGGTGGAGGACAATTTAACTGATCCATTGTCTCACAAATATCAATCAGAATGTGATATCCTCCTTGGCTGATGACTGCCTATCTACATTTCATTAGGCTTAGACAGTCTATTTTAAGGCCTTTCCAAAAATGAAGGCTAAGTTGTTGGGAAAGGTCCTGTAGTTCGGCAGTATTCCATGGGATGAATGTTACCATCGACTACGAATACTGAAACAGTATCTCTAGAACCACGGCTATATGATGTTAGGTTATAAAGCTCCATCAAAGTGAGAAGAAATCGGTGTGAAAAACGATGTCATTTGTTATCTTCTCCAACTCCCCTGCACGTTACAGCCCGGATGCGATCGAGGATAAATTGTACCATCAGTTAAGTGATCTTCATAAAGTGTGTTCAACAGATAACATGTCGATGTCTTGAACGATGGACCATCTACTCAAACTTTGCGCAGACCACGACCCGTTCCTGGCTGACACTAAATGTCAGCACAGTAGGTGGAGTTATTCGAGAAACACTTAAGCTGGTCCGCTGTCCCAGCGACCTCGACCAGACTGTTCTGTTCCCTCTGGACAGAAGACGAAAGCCCCCAAGGAACTCTAGGAACCACCAAGCCCAGATGACCTACTCTTGGGGCTCTTTAAGTGCTGTTGCAACCTTCTGACTATTGAACTAAGTTGTTTGCAAAATTTTGTGAATTAGAGGGTCGATAGTCAATCCTATCTTCTAAAGGTATTTATGTCACCTATGTAACAACTATCAGGATATGAGTCTACTTCCGATTGAGTCCAAACTATTGGCTTGCGTCATACTTCGTAGATTGTTCAAAATCGGAGAAAGATTGACTCACAAGGAACAGGCCGGTTCGCATTCTGATCGAGGATGTATTGATCATATCTTGACCCTCCGCTTAATTTTAGAACACTCATACTTGTTACAGGCCAACAATTGTAGTGTTTCTTGACATTAAGGCCGTCTTCGGTCCATTGGACAGAATTGTTCTTTAGGATTGTCTATTGAAGAAGGGTGTGCCTGAGAAGCTTACTAACATCTTGGAGGGTCTATATACAAATATCGTATGCAGAGTGATGGAGTACGACTACTTCTTCCCATTGTTCCATTCAAGCAGTAGGGTTGCCTAATCTCACCACCCCTCTTCAACTTTTCCATTGATGACATTCTGGAAACAGCTCTGATGGATGTAGGTAATGGTGGTGTGAATCTGTTGCTTAGAGAAAGACTTTTCGACCTTGAGTATGCGGATGATATTGTCTTACTGTGCGATGATGATACCCAAGTCATGCAATCCGCACTTAGTCAAATGACAAATAGTGTCCATAGGTATGGTATGTGCTTTGCACCTTCGAAGTGCAAAGTACTTTTACAAAACTGTCAGAACTCAGATACTGCACTCACCCTGGGTAGTGAGGGGATAGACGTGGTCGAGGAGTTCATGTATCTGCTTAGCTGCGTAAGTGCTGGTGGTCGCGTGAACGATGAGACCAGTTCACGTATAGTGAAAGCCAGAGCGGCTTATACTAACGTTTGGCGCCTTTGCGATGGTAGTTTGGCTGTAAAAGGTCAGATCTACAACGCGTCGGTGAGAGCAGTTTTGCTCTATGCTTGTGAAACCTGGCCTCTCCGAGTTGAGGATGTTAGACGACTTTCTGTGTTTGATCATCGTTGTCTCCGAATGATTGCTGACATCCAGTGGTAACGCCATGTTAGTAATGCAGAGGTTTGGCATCGTGTGTTCGGGCACAGGGACGATAATTCAATTAGTGTCACTATCTTGGGATACCGACTTCGGTAGCTTGGACAGGTACTAAGAATATATACCTATGGAGTTCCACATCGTGCATTATTTGCTAACGCTGGGACTGGTTGGAAAAAGCGGAGGTGGTCACTGTATGACACGATATCGTAGTGTTAAAGAAAGTTGTACAGGACTGGAATCTATTGGTCCTTCACGTCTCTCTGACTGAAGTGCTTGAAATGGTGCAACACGATGAGTAGAGACGTTATCAGATATGGCTCAGAATTGAATCTAGTGGCGATCCTGGTGTAACTTTGTTTAGTTTCTTCATAATAAGTGAACATAAAGTCTTTAACTGAAAGAATTCTAAACCAGCTGTTTCTCCCATTATTATCATTAACTCGCTGTACGCAATAATTTCTGTTCGTTGTTTCTCTTTCATTATACGCAAGTTACATGCTCTATCACTTCACAACCTCACTCTTATTGTGTGGCGTATATGTATTCGGTAATCCCGTTGTACCAATATTTATGTGTTCAAATAAATTTATTAATAAATATGATGTGAATTGCAAAATTTTTTAGTATTATCAACGAACTTATCATCGTTGTCTAGTACTTTTATGAAGGAGGTTTGAGGTGATGTGATGGGATTAATTTCAGATTGAAAAAATTGGTGAACAAAATGCGAATCGAGAGTGGGGAGAGTCCTCTCTCCCTCTCGAAATGCTCTCACATGGTCACGCGTATAAAGCCTCTGCTAGGGAAGTCCTACTCACTGCTTTCCCGTGGCAGGGGTGTTGTTTACGAAAATGAGAGGACGAAAAGCGAATGTCCGGCGCTTTGACCGGATTCCAAACCAATGGTGCACATGAACTCCAGTATCCTGAGGGAACAAACGGCGTATGAACCAATTGTTGGTCACCGGCTTCCATGGGACTGCATCGCCTGACGATGCTCCACTGCCTTGTGGATCAGACTTTCAGGTCGAGTGCTCTGGGTGTGGCCCCCTAAGTAAACCATCTGCTTCAGTTTGGTCGCCCGGGCAGTATCACAGCCCTCACACATATCGAATGAGATTTGTGTGGCGCATATGTATTTGGTGCCTTTTTGTACCAATATCTATGTGTTGAAATAAATAAATAAATAAAGAATCGACAGATAAGCGAAATTATGCGATATTGCTGAGTGATGGCTACTTACAAGATTGTATTATTTAACTGCAGCCTCGAATGATTAGAAATCAAGAAGACTATTAGCCAGACAAATATATTTCTATGTGGTAAAATAACATGCTTATAAGCAGAATATTAACAAAAAATAGATATGATAAAATGTCATAGGAGATTGGAGGAAATTAGCTTGCGGACTACTCATTCATCAAGCACTTAAAATGTGACTCTTAGGACTAACATTTAGGTATTGTGTCAAGTACCCTACATATAACATCGGCACTGCTCACTTGGTTGTGTCACAACGCGTGACAGACGCTTCGAATATACATTTGATAGAAAAGTGCGGTCCACGGAAGTCTTTTATTCATGTTTTACAACCAAAGGTAAGACAAAGTTGACTGAATTCATTATCTGAGAGAGTTCTTTGGTACAGTGAAGATATCCTCATGTTGGAGTTTTAACCTGAAGTTCCTGCTAATGAACATGGAGAATTCAAGTCCCGAAAAAAACTGAGATGTTAGGTCGTAAATATTGTGTCTTACTATCGGTGCCCAGTCGAAAGAAATATATTGAATCATGTATCTTAAATATTCCTAAGAATATTTAATGTTTAAACAGTCAACGAGTGTATAAAATAAACGTGCTATGTGGAGATGCGGTCTGATACAAGCTTTTAAGTGCTACTTAGTTAAACACGATGGAAATGGAAAAAAACCGAATGACTCACACATTTTGCGTAATAATTTGCTAGCTTTTCGTAAACCATTGAGGTCTGTATAATATGGCCACGTCGAAATCCTTTACCTGTTCGCGATTCTTTGTAAACGGAATCACAAAACCGTAGAAAATTAAAAACCTGAAAGAAACGAGATTATAGAAAGTTGACTTTTATAGGATACGTTATGTACAAATTATCACATGTCTTTAAGAAAAATCGCTGCTCCAATAATTGCCAGGACAAGTATACATTTGTGTACGTGATTTTGAGTCACCCTATGCATGATGGCTAGTGATACTACTCGACTCTCCAAAGAGCAGTAGGTGAGGCGGCACGCGAACTTGTGGCTGTGGTTGAAGGCTGGATGCCTTAGTCACTAAGTCACCGCTCCACAGACTGCATTTAGTTGTTTAGTTGAAACGGACTAAACTCCAAAATCGTTTAATTAAGTTGTTACACTAATGCCCGAAGCTTGCTCAATAAGCGATCGGAACTAGGTGTACAGATTGACTCTACAAAGCCAGACATAATCGCAGACACAGAAACCTGTTTGACACAGTCTATAGATATTATGGACCTTGATTTCGAAGGTTTTACGTTAGTAAGTGCCGACAGAATACAAAAGCGTAAAGGAGGGGGAGTGGCTCTATTCATTAGGAATGCTACCCCATTTGCGATTATCGACAGTGTATCCCATGAGAGTGGGACGTATGAATTAGTTAGTTGCCTCTTTAAATGCAAGGGACAAGAGCTGCTAGTTTGGTCTATCGCAGTCCAAGCTGTGGGGTAAATGAGGTCCTGCTAAGCAGTCTCAATACTTGGTCACAAAGTGGTCGATGTCTAATCCTAGGGGACTTTAATGCATCAGTGGTAGACTGGGAAAATCTGCGAACTGAATCGTCAGATAATTCCTTCGATCAGGAACTAGGTGATGCGGTTATCACATGTGCCCTAGTGCAACATGTGAAAGAAGTGACTTGGTACAACCCGGACACTGAATCATTCTTACTAGATCTTATATTGACTCACTATGAGGATGACGTTGTGAACCTCCATTACATGCCACCTCTAGGTGAAAGTGGTCACAGTTTTAAATTTTGACTTCCATATAACTGTCAATCACGAGCACGCGTCAGCTCAATCCAGACCTAACGTCTGGAAAGCAAACATACCAGATATCATGCACTCAGCATCTTCAGTAGTTTGGACAATAGAGCCAGAGTCCTCAATTGAAACGGCTTGGGACACATTTCGAAATTTATACTTAACAGTTACCGCATCCCACATCCCTTGGACTATGCCAAGAGGGCCGAGAAACTCTCCACCAACTCTCGCATCCATCTCCGTAAGAGAAGAAAAAAGTGGGATAGATTTAGGTTGCTGGGGGGACTGATGAGACGAAATATCAGTACCGAAAAGCTCGGAATACCTGTGCCTCGACCCTCCGTAAGTCTAGAAAGTTAGGGAATCCATAGAATGTCCTAAACGCTTGTACTCGTAAATAAACCAGAGGACAAAAAGAAGAGATATTCCTGCATTATATGGAGACAGTACTGCCGCATCATTAGTGGAAGACGATTTTGGTAAGGCTCAAATGTTCTCGAAGTACTTTAGCAATGTATACACCATAGAAGCACCCTTCCCATCAGCGCATACAGACCCCCCTACACACACACTGGATAGCGTGGCCATTAAAGAACTCGATGCATTCTAGGCTACTGAAGGAATTATCTAACTCCGTTGCGAACCCTTTAAGTATATGCTTTAATCTATCCGTAACCCAGGGTCGGTTACCAAAAGACAGGAAAAACGCCATAGTAAGTCCTGTCTTCAAAACAGGTACGAAACACAAACCTGAGAATTACTGACTCGTTAGCTCAACTAGTGTGGTTGTTAAAATCTTAGAAAAGATTTTTCGGAAGGAGCTGTTTAAGTACCTCAATGAAAACCGGATCCTTTCGGAGAAGCAGCACGGTTTCAGAATAGGTTACTCTTGTTTCACTAACTCATTAGTGACCTGTGAAAGATGGTGAGCTCTTTAAGACCAGAAGTTATGTGAAGACTAGGCCTTCATTGATTTCAGCAAAGCTTTTGACAAGGTTCCGCACAATCGGCTGTTTTATAAGCTAAAAATTGTCGGAATTAGAGGCAATCTATTAATGTAGATAAAAGACTTCCTAGTTGGGCGCCAACAAAGAGTACGGGTGAACTCAAGGTTATCTAGCTGGGGAACTGTGCTTAGTGGAGCGCCCCAGGGTACAGTTTTGGGGCCAGTGCTATTCCTCTTGTATGTAAATGACCTTCCTCGTCTCCTATCATCATCGGTTTTGCTATATGCTAAAGTTGTCAAGATATGGAGAACGATACGAAGTAAGAGTGACAGCTTAGAACTCCAAAACGACCTGGAGAAATTAGCTGAATGATCTCCAACCTGGCAGTTGCCGATAAATACTTCTAAGTGTATTGTGATGCATATCAGTCATCAAGGTACAGATAAATGCACGATAAATAACACTTACGGGTCATCGTTAGCCAAGACTTCAAGACTACTGCACACTGCCGTGCAATAGCCCCCAAAGGTTTTAGAACTTTATGGTCAATACGTAGGGCCTTTAGTCATGTCGACGCTAAAACGTTTTTGACTTTGTATACAGTGTTCGTACGTCCTAAACTTGAGTAGTGCATACAAGCGGCTAGCCCCTGCTTATAAAAAGACGGTGAACTTCTGGAAAAGGTTCAGAGACCAACAACTAAGCTGATTCCCGGAATAGCGAAGCTTCCGTATTATGCTTGACTGGCCAAGCTAAACCTATTGTCATATCGTAGAACTAGAGGCGACTTGATTACAGTTTTCAAATTGCTTAGTGATAAATTTGCACCTGATATGTCCTTATTTTTCTTGTCTTCAAAAACAGAGGATTTACAAGGACACTCTAGAAAACTTCACAAGCTCAGAACAAATTAGTTGTCAGCTGACTATCGACTTTCTCATCGCATCATCAACGAGTGGAGTTCATTAACTCAGGACGTGGTTGAGGCTCCATCCGTCGACTCTTTCAAAAGAAAGTTGGGTCAACTGACAGACCACCATTTCCAGGACTAGCACAGACGATCAAGCCTCCTGTCTTTTCCAAACTGAAACTGAAAACTGTTTGTTTATTATAAACAGTAGGTTCTTTTCCAGAATAGTGATAATCGTAATAGTTTGAACAAAGAGCTACTCTCAAGAGCTAGAGACATCCTGTCTGAGAACTTAGAAAACCTTATATTCGAAAGCGATTTACCTGGAAATAAGTATCATGGACTCCAGCCAAAACGTCAGACTTATTGTCTCGTTTTACAAACAAATTGATAGTTAGGTCCTGACAACGAAATCTAAAGATTCAGTCCGTATTAGCTCATGACACTAACTAATACTGATTTTAACCGTAATTCAAAGGGTAAGAACTTGTGATGCAATATACTATTCTTCTTAAGATTACAGGACATTTACTTGATTAGTCGATCAATATACAGCCTGAGGCAAGTGTGTTTCAGATCTAGTCAGCATCATACAACTAATAAACAGAGATATATATTTAACCAAGATTGAAAGACCTCGAGTTTAGAGATAATGAAGAACAAACTTGTTTTAATAGCGCCGAGTCTGTTGCCTGACTATATGCTATAGAGATTAGACTAAACAGCAGCGCGAAACAGCACAATCAAACGTTCTATTAACTGAAATGTCAACGAGACCGTTCAACATGATTTTGAGAAACTTGTGAACTATAAGTAACCCACTTAAACGGTCAAATAACTGACCTTTAATATTTTTCAGGTAAGATCATACTATGTAAAATCTCAAAACATTAGTCTTTTTTAATTTTAAATCTAACGATTAATCACTAAACGACATATGACAAAGAGCGATTAGCGTAATTTGACCTAGCAATAACAACCTTACTTCAAATATGCAGATTAAGCAGCAAAACACTGACCTCTCCTGACGCAATACTTGAATCCAAGAATCCTGCTAGTTTGATATTGAAATTAAAAATTTTTGAAAGCTGAGCAGAGAAACTGTGCGGGAAACCGGGTTCTGAAATATGATTGTCAAGAAATTGTGGGTCCTTGTCCAGTTTAATCTCAAGAATGCGAGACCACTCGGGAAAATTCGCCATCCAAAACTGTTTACAACACTTTGTGATTGTTTGGAACCTAGGAGGAATGTGCTTGGAAGTTAGAGCACACTCAGATTGTTTGATAAGTATAGCCGCATTAAGCGATAGTTCATCAATCTGAGAACTGTCCCTTTTCTTAACAGTCAGAACTTTGGATTCATGTGGTTTTTGGGACAAAGGGTCGTTGTTTTGAAGTCCTAAAAGTTTGATCAGTACTTTAAAGCAAATTTTATTTGACGTCCTTACTTGGTGATGCTCTATATGCATACGTTGAGTATTTAAGTGCAGTCTTGATATATGACGGCTGATAAGAATGAGAAAACATATAAATTCAGAAATGTGTTTTCCCCGGAAGTGAATGTAGTCAGGGAAACTATTCGCTAGGCACGCGACGTAGCGCAACCTCCGAAATTGCTCCGAAAACTCAGAGGTTAATCCAATGTCCAACATCCTAGCGACTAATTTGCATCAATCAATTGATTTTTTAGTGTTTACTTTTCGTTGTTAAACAGAGTTTTTAAATATTTTGATTGCCTTCAAAGACATCTGTCAGTTTTCTTGGTCACGGTGGTATAAATAATCGGTAATTATTTTTAGGATTTCTAGCTTGCCAATTGCCTGGGATAGCCTCGAGAGGGATTGACGTTTTTAAACCTTCCGTATGAACGGAATGTGTTGAGGAAAGTAGACGTATTATTATCAAAGACCGGTTTTCAGCACTCATCAGTTTTTGAAACAGAAAAGAACACGAAATATCGTAAACTATATATATATATATATATATATATATATATATATATATATATATATATGCATATCTCTATAAAAATCGGAAAATACAAAACTGGGAGTCCTTTGCCACTAAACAAGCATAGACGTTCCTGCTATTGGGTGAAAATAAACTTTTACTTTCGAAAGTATACATTCTATCACATTTTGTAACTTACTTACTTACGCCTGTTACTCCTCGTGAAGGAGCATAAGCGGCTCACCAACATTCTCCATCCAACCCTATCCTGGGTAATCTTTTCCAGTTGTTATTCATCTTTTTCATATCTGCTTCTATTTCGCGACATAATGTGTTCTTTGACCTTCCTCTTTTCCGCTTCCCTCCAGGATTCTACGTTAAGGCTTGATGATTTACGTAATGGATGTCCTATCCATTTCCATTGCCTTCTCCTAATTTCCTCTTCAACTGGAAGCTGGCTTGTTTTTCCCCAGAGAAGGCTGTTGTTGATGGTATCCGGCCAATGGATGTTGAGTATCTTGCGTGGACAGCTATTTATAAATACTTGTGCCATCTTGATGATGGTTGTTGTAGTTCTCCAAGTTTCAGCTCCATACAGTAGAACTGCCTTGACATTCGTATTGAAGATTCTCACTTTGATATTTGTTGAAAGTTGTTTTGAGTTCCATATGTTCTTCAATGGTAGAAATACGGCCCTTGCTTTGCCAATCCTCGCCTTTACGTCTGCATCTGAACCTCCTTGTTCATCGATGATGCTTCCGAGGTATGTGAAGGATTCTACATCTTCCAGAGTTTCGCCATCAAGAGTGATTGGATTGCTGTTCTCCGCTTTGAATTTGAGGACCTTGGTTTTCCCTTTGTGTATGCTGAGGCCTACTGATGCAGAGACTGCTGCTACACTGGCTGTCTTCATCTGCATCTGTTCGTGTGTACGTGATAGGAGGGCTAGGTCATCTGCGAAGTCCAAATCGTCTAATTGATTCTGAGATGTCCATTGTATTCCGTGTTTTCCTTCAGATGTCGAGGTCTTCATAATCCAGTCGACCACCAGAAGAAAGAGGAAGGGAGAGAGTAAACAGCCTTGTCTGACTCCGGTCCTTACTTGGAATGCATCTGTCAGCTGTCCTCCATGCACTACTTTGCACTGTAGTCCGTCGTATGAGTTCCGGATAATATTGACAATCTTCTCAGGAACTCCGTAGTGTCGAAGAAGTTTCCATAATGTCCTCCTATCTACACTGTCGAATGCCTTTTCATAATCAATGAAGTTGATGTATAGTGATGAGTTCCACTCAACTGATTGTTCGACGATGATCCGTAGTGTTGCAATTTGGTCTGTGCACGACCGATCCTTACGGAATCCAGCTTGTTGATCTCGAAGTTGGGCGTCTACTGCATCCTTCATCCGGTTCAGCAACACTCTGTTGAAGACTTTCCCTGGTATTGACAGTAGTGTAATGCCTCTGTAGTTTTCACATTTGCTCAGATCTCCTTTCTTTGGAATCTTGACGAGGTGTCCTTCTTTCCAGTCCATCGGCACTTGTTCCTCCTCCCAAATCTTTTTGAATAGAAGGTAAGCATGCTTGTGGTTGCTTCGATGTCTGATTTCAGTGCTTCAGCTGGTATGTTGTCGGGTCCTGCTGCTTTCCCGTTCTTGATTTGTCTGACGGCCATTCTAATTTCTTCCGTCGTTGGTGGGTTGACATCTATAGGAAGATCTGTGTGTGCTGCTTCGATGTCCGGTGGATTCATTGGAGCCGGCCTATTCAGGAGTTCCTCGAAGTATTCTACCCATCTGTTACGCTGTTGTTGAATTTCGGTGATTGGCTTGCCTTCTTTGTCTTTGACCGGCCTCTCTGGTTTACTGTATTTCCCTGCTAGTTTCTTCGTTGTATCGTAAAGCTGTTTCATATTTCCTTCTCTAGCAGCTTTTTCTGCCGTCGTTGCTAGTTCTTCCACGTATTTCTTCTTGTCGGCTCTAATGCTCCTCTTCACTTGTTTGTTTGCTTCTATGTATTCAGCTTGTGCTTGGACTTTCTCTGCTCGTGTTCGGCTGTTGTTAATTGCTGCCTTCTTGTTCTTCCTTTCTTTGATCTTGTCCAGTGTTTCTATAGAGATCCATTCCTTATGATGGTGTTTCTTTAGGCCCAGAACCTCTTGACACGTTGAAGTTAATGCTTCCTTGATGCCTTTCCAGTTGTCCTCCATAATAGTTTCTTCTTCCTTCAGTAGATCTTGTAAGGCTTGGAACCTGTTGTTGAGAGCTATCTTGAATTCATTGAGTTTGTCAGTATCTCGAAGGAAGGCTGTATTGAACCTTTGTAGTGCTGTTTGTCCACTTGTCCAGTTCTTTTTTAGCTTCAGTTTTAAATTGGCTACAACTAGGTGGTGATCTGAAGCTACGTCAGCACCTCTCCTGGTTCTCACATCTTCCATTGTCCTTCGGAATTTTTTGTTGATGCAAATATGATCTATTTGGTTCTCTGTAGTGTGGTCCGGTGAGATCCATGTAGCCTTGTGTATACGCTTGTGTGGAAATATTGTGCCTCCTATGACCAATTTGTTGAATGCACATAGATTTGCAAATCTTTCTCCATTTTCGTTTCTGTCTCCCAGTCCATGTCGTCCCATAATATCTTCATATCCGGTGTTGTCTATTCCGACTTTGGCATTTAGATCTCCCATCAGAATAGTTAGGTCCTTTCTTGGGCATTTCTCAATGATTGACTGCAGCCGCTCGTAGAACTGATCTTTAATGTCGTCGTTGCTATCATTGGTGGGTGCATAACATTGGATAATATTCATTAAGATCCCCTCCTTCTTTGTTTTGAATGATGCTTTGATGATTCTGGATCCGTGAGATTCCCATCCTACAAGTGCATTTCGTGCTACTTTGGACAGCATAAGAGCGACTCCCTGAGTGTGTGGAGCATTTTCCTCTTCGTGACCGGAGTATAGCAGCATCTCTCCCGTAGCTAGCCTTTTCTGTCCAGCTTGGGTCCAGTGGGTTTCGCTGATTCCCAGTACTGTCAAGTTGTATCTCCTCATTTCCGTTGCTATTCGACTGGTCTTCTCGGTCTAACTACAAGTTCGGTTATTTATGGTGGTATTTAGTAAACTGAATAATATGTGATTATTAAATGACAGATTAGTTGATTTGACTTTGTAAACAAAGTCAGTTAATCACAATTTCGAATATAAACAATTAAACTGACTAGTCTAGATTTGTAGCGAATAGACTAATTACAGAAAGATATCGCGGTAAATCCTTTTTTAAATTATGCTATCACATTTTTTTGTACAACACTTAGAAGAGCAATTTATTATTGAGTTTTTGAAATTATTTCATGGGAAATGATCAAAGTTTTCAGTTAAATCATATGACAGTAAACGTCGTTTTTTAATTAGTCAAGCTAAATTTTAAGCTACAATGATTATTACGAAGCTTTATGATATATTAACTTCCTCTGGAAGAGATGTTTCGCTCCTAGTTGTTATTTTCCAGTATATGATTAAACCTAGGATCTTGAGGCCTTTAAGTGAGAATATTATCTTTAAGCTGTAATCTTGGGGTGTACATGTTCGAATTCAATCTACTGACAGTATAGTAAGGCCTTTAGTGACCCGGGATCTGACTTCAAGAAGGTCGTATGAATGATTGTTATTGAGATATGCATACCGTCAATCCCCATATATAATCATCGACTTAAATCGCGTTAGTCAATAACGGAATTAAATAAGTCGAATAGAAGAATGGATTTCGAATACATATATTTTGTACAATCATTGATCTGGGCAGATAATCGGAGGAACAAAGCGAAGAGAAGAAAGCGAAGCGAAATGACGCGTAGTGGAGAAGGCATATGAGCCAACTCCTTTTAACCAAGCGTTAATCAGTATTTATAGTCACACAAAAATAAACTACAGATTAATAGGATAAAAAGTGCACACATACATATGTGCCCATAAAAGAACAGTCAAGGTTGACAATTGAATAATTAACAAGGTCAGAATGTGACTCAAGTAAAATTAATAGACTTGCCTGTCTGAAAGCTAGAACAAGGTATACGGGCTTAACGTAATAACCGACACTACATGCTATTATCCAAAATAATTGGTAATGACATCTTCATCTACAGCATTACTAAACTCTACACTCATTAGAAATTTCATATTCTCTGTGAACTTTAGGTACTAGTTGACAAATTATTATTATTTAGTTAAATCTTTTGTAAAGACTGATTTAAAGTATAAAAAAGGGTTTCTATCTTCTAAACAAAAAGACTTATTCAATTTAAAATGTTATTTACGAAATTAAATCAAAATTAATAATTCAAGAGAAAAAATTTCCACTTTTTTTCTTTTTATACATCCAATAAAGTGTCCCTTAACAGCTGTCTACGCAAAATACTTCGGATCCGATGGCCAGACACTGTCAGCAACAAACTACTATGGGAGAGAACAAACCAGATCTCAGCGGAAGAAGAAATCAGGAAGAAGCTGATAGGAAGTGGATAAGACACACATTGAGGAAAGCACCCAACTGCGTCACAAGGCAAGCTCTCACATGGAATCCT